AACAAATTAGTAACAACATGTTCAAAAGAAAACTGTTAAAGTTTTTCTTGAGTTTGTGAACCATGATAAATACAAAAAATCATGATTCAGCAGGAGGTTGGATAGAACCTTTGGCAATATTGTTACTATAGTGTTGAACTTTGTCTGAGCCCCTGAGTTCCTGGAAAGTAGTGGAGTTAAAGAATTCCTCCACCCTTTCCTATTCTGAGAAATGACAACTCTGCTCTTATAGAATATATAAGATCACCACTTCTGTTTCTTAGAAACCATGACTCACTTATTCCTGCTTCTTTGAAATTCCGGGATCCCTTTCTTTACTCTGAGATGTGCTTCATTAATATATATGCTTCCAATTGTAACAGCCAGTTATCTCTGTTATCCAATTGTAACAGAGATGCAATCATCTCCTTAAATGTCCAGTGTATTTCACCTTTCATTTTATTTAAAAGAGAGGAAAATGTTTAAGGTCTTTGTTAAATTCAGGGGAATAAAATCGAGGATGGAAAGGTGATATAATTTTGAAATTAAATAGAATTTTATAGAATGATAGAGTATTTTAATGCAGTGTTTACAGAATAAAAGGACATGGCTCCATTTCATAAACGAAGTGGTTGGAGTGTCACATTGATTGCTTTGCCTAAGGCCCTGCCAGGAAATAACAGCTGCCCCATGTACAGAATTGTAGTTGGAAATACCACTTTTCTCTTGGTCTTTGAGGGCGTTGTATGAGCTCACTGGAATTTTTACCTTATAATGACTATAGAATTAGGTATAAATAGGTGTTTGTGCCCGTGTGCTACCTGAGTAACTTTATGAATGGTACAATAAAATAATAGACATTACTCATAAAGAGAAACCCACCTGCAAGTATTAAGACAATGGAGTCACAAATATTTGTGATCCTACTTATTCTTCCACTTACAAAGACAGCAGAGGTTTGTTGAGGACAATAGCAGTCATGGAAGGAAGTTGGTTTTCAATAAATATGGTTGATTTAATGTAAGCATCTTATACAATGTCAAAATGTTCATTATAAAAGGGAATGTCAATTTTTCTTGGGGGAAAAAGTAAACTAAAAGTCAATCAAAAGGTATCTAGGCCAGGTGCAATGACTCATGTCTGTAATCTCAGCTACTAGAAAGTGGAGATCAGGGTAATTGTGGTTCAAGGCCAGCCCAGGGAAAAAAGTTAATGAACCCCCATCTCAAAAAAGCTGAATATGGTGATGGTGCACTCCTGTCATCCCAGCTATGCAAGAGGTGTAAGTAGGAGGAATGTGGTCCAAGCTGGCCAGGGCAAACAATGCAAAATCTTACCTGAAAATTAACTAAAGAAAAAGCGCTGAGGGAATAGCTCAAGGGGTAAGCACCTGCCAAGCAAATGTAAGACCGTGAGTTCCAACCCCAGTACCACCAAGGAAAAAACAAAAAATTTCTCCTGTACTAATCTGTACTTTATAACTTCTGGGCAGAGAAGGAAGAAAATCTGATAGCAGACAGGCAGGCAGGTTCTCATAGCAAATAGGGATTCTTATAATGAAGTAAGTGCTGAAATTTGAAAATGACTAATAATTTTATTTGTTTTTACAGTAATTCAGTTCCAAATATTCTCCGTTACTGCTTTCAGCCCATTTGATAGGACACAATAGGAAATGAGGCTAAGGTCTCACAGGTGGAAATGGGTTAAGCAAACTATAGCACATACATTCAGTGAACTACTCTTCAGCAGATGAAAATTGTCAGGGAAAAAAGGCCTAGAAAGCTGTTTGTACTCCAGAGAAGAAAATCTACCTAAAAATGGTATCATTCAGACACATTCCCTATTAGGATGTATATTCAAAAGTTTGGAGACCATGTCTCTTTTGTTACTGTATTTCCAACAGATAGGACAGAGTTTGCTGCAATATAAGTACTTAAATTAGTAAATGAAAGTGTATATAAAATGGGCCCACCAGGAAAATGTAAGTTACAGAAAAGAACCCTTTAAGAATACAATTAAAATGTTAGTTGCTTAATTCAGAATGGTTCTTTTTGGTCAGTTGGTATTTAACCTTTTTTTTTTTTTCTTTTTTGATGGGACTGGGGTTTGAACTCAGGACTTCATAGTAGCAAAGAAGGTGTTCAAACACTTGAGCCACACCTCCAGTCCATTTTTGCTCTGCTTTTTTTAGAGATGAAGTCTCCTAAAATGTTTGCCTGGACTGGCTTCCTCCCGATCCTCCCTATCTCAGCCTCCCAAATAGCAAGGGATGCCTGACAATATTTAAACCATGTAAAATAATGTTCCTAATCAGAACAGAAACAATAGAACTAAGTTAAAATATACCATTGCATAGGTTTTCTAGAACAATCTTTTAAAAATAGCCCATTTTAATAGTTAAGAAGCTTACAAGCTGGCTGGGTTTTTCTTAATCTTACAAAGCAGCTTATTTTCTGAAATCCTCATGTTCTATCCAGGCTTATCTCTCAATGAACAATCATCCACAGTCTGTTCAGAATCATGATCAATAAATGAAATGAAAATGAAAATGAGATAACTCTTGTTTGCTGTCTTCACTTACATATTTTCCAGGTAACTGTGGTTTTATTTTTCTTGAAACAAGAACCAAACCAGAAATCTTGTTGCTTCCTGGTAGAAATGAAAGTAACAGAAAAGGCTCTATCTTCACAAACCACAGATTTGAGAATAAAACTGGCCAAAATCTTTGGAACTCATTCCGAATGCTCTGATAATTCCCTGGAACAGTAAACATTTTATTTCTTAGTGTTAGATATTTATTACTTAAAAATGCAATGCCTGTATTACAAGATATTAAAAAACATTACATTCAATTGACCAAAAATTGTGCATTAATGCTCCTCAAGAGAAATACAGAGTGGAGGTGCAGAATTAGTCTCTTTTCCCTAGTCCAGAAGGCCAGATGTGTCCAGTGGTACATTTGATTTTAAATAGTGAATATGCCCAGGAGAAGCATTAGCCATCTTGAATTTTATTGTTCAAAGTATATGAAAAATAGTAATATCTGAAGAATCAGAGAATTGGAGAAAGGAAACAGTGTAGATTTGTCCTCTGTAAATTTTTCTCTTTTTTACATAAATTATATATAGAGTTTATTGAAATCAGAAACATAATCTGCTAAATACTAGCTATGAATTTCCACCTAAAATATTAATCTCTGCTGTATTTTCAGATTATCTTAAAAATATTATCCTTGTAACATAAATCTTAAAAGCCATTAAATAAATCATTTCAAAATTTATTTGCAGTCTATAGTTAAATGGAGAAGGGTTTAAATAAATTATATCAGCTCAGTTTTTGACAGTATCCTAGAAAACTATAATAACTGGGAAGTATCAAAAGAATTGAAAAAGTCATATTGAAAAAACAGAATGAAGTATCCAGATTTATCTTGCCCACAAGAAAAGTCATAATAGAGAAAGAATTTTCCTTTTAATCTTTTATACCCAGGAGGAGAATTATTTTCTAGAACCCTAAGTGGTTCACAACAGAGAGTCAAAACCAATGTTATTGGTAAAAAAAAGTTATTTGTTTCTTCACCTGGCATAAAATAATTCAAACCACTGTGGTTAACTTGATGGTAAAATAAAAGGAAATGCATTGAAAGTAATCTGTCATTTAATTGATTTCTCTTAATTCAATCCCTGCAATTAAAATAAGTGAAATTTTCATACTTCCTGCCAACAGCTTTTTTTCTAAATTGTGATGTTTCCATAAAATACCCAACACAAAAGCATGCACATGGTCGATCTGCAAAATGAATGTCAATCACTTGAGGTTTTTCTGCCTAACAAACATTTGTTTAATATCCACTTGACCTGATTCACTTGACTCACTCAAAGTTATTAAAGATTCCTATGGGCTAATACAAATTTTATTTGTTCTCACTCAATATGGTATCTCGAATGCACTTTCAGTTGTCTATAAGTTGAGAATCCACATTCCTTTTTGAATGTTTTTTTCCTTCTTCTGGTATCCCCTTTTCAGAACTCACACATCACAATGTAAATACCTCCATATTAACATCTGTTACCTTAGTTTATCAACCAGTTCAGTGTTGCTTGGCTGTGCACTCAGGGATAGAAGAAATGGGTGATTTCATATTTGCTTTTCAGTAAATAGGACTTAATAAAGTGTCTGGCACATGTAGATGGTCAATAAACATTTGATGAATAAGGTAATTAATTTAATACTTCCAAAAAGCTATGAAAGCCATATCTCATCTACAAAAAAACTGGGTGATGTTATTGATATTGAAGTATTAATTTCATATTAAGATCAAGATCGAGTAAAAATTAAATATTTTCCTCATTTGGACTCAAATAATATACGAAATTTCATAGACAAAAGAATTGACTGGAGGGGTTGGGGGAGAGGAGACAGAGGGGAGAGGTGGCCCAAACAGTGTATACACATGAATAAATGTATAAACAATTTAAAAAGTAAAATAAAATAATTAACTAGTGTTAAGGAAAGAGGCTTTTCACAGGACTCTAAGTTGTGTGTTGATGATGCCACCTTGACATGGAATTCTTCCCTAGGAGGATCTAGTTTTTTGAGAGGTAATCTGGCATTCGGCTGATGCAAAGAAATAAATTTCCTTGAATTCATTCCCTAGTTAAATAAAAAATATTTCATTAAGAGACAAGGATCTTGTACACACGAAGTAGTTACAAAGCCCTTCCTGTGAGCCTTTATTATGAAGCCAAATTCTCCTAGGACTTTAAACTGTTTCTTAGATGTTAAACAGTCAGCTTTTACATCTTCTTTAAGCCAGGAGACATGACTGCCTCTCTTTTCAACCTACTTCTGTTCAACTCATATCCAAGAGAGTTTTTAAATAACATAATATGATTCCAATACAAATTTATGCGTTAGAAAATCCTCTTTGGGCTGGGAGTGGCACAGTATTTGCCTAGAATATACAAGACACTGGGTTTGATTCCCAGTGCTTCCCCACCCCCCCACACACAAATTCTTTCTTATACATACACACCCCAGTAAAACAAATTAAATATTATAAAAACAATAGGAAATAAAATTCTAGAATAGGTGTCAATGACATGGTTGTTTTCTAGGATGATTCTACCAATGTTTCCTCTAAGGGATTTTCTTCTCTTTATCTGAGGTGACTCTGTGCTGGGGCTGCCTGTGGATCTTCTTCTCATGAAGTCCTCTTCTGAGTGCAGAGAAAAGGATGTCTGGTCCACATCACTCCCGCTGTCATGGTAACAACCATCGAAGGCCATGGCTTGAACTGCATCAATATTGTACATTCCAGAAATCTATCAAAAAAGATGTTTTAAAGTAGGTCAAAGACTTGACTTTATGAATAGGAATTACTGTAAAAATGTAAATGTAAAAATAGTTTCCATAAATGCTAAGAATGTTTTGCTTATTATAAAGAATAGAATTCTGAGTTTGCTTCTGGTATCTGACTAAAAGTCATTTAAATAATAAATAGAAAACATCATCTTACAGATATTGATTTAGCAATGAGGTTTAAATTTATTTCCATGATATATTTTGGCATCATACAAATAAATGTTGCATGAATATCCTACAAATGTTTTCTAATTTAGTCCTGGCCTGAGACACAGTTATACCCTATGCATGTTTCCTCCTAGTTTCTCAGTGGTATAAATGGTTTTTCAGAGTTCAAGACTTTAAATTGAATATAATTTATGAGAATATCAGTGTAATCCAACTGGATTTGATAGTCAACTCATATTTCCTCTTTAGAAAAAATACAGTAGGTAGAGTGGAACAAGTATTAGTGTGCCTGCCTAGCAAGTGTGAGGCCCTGAGTTCAAACCACAGTACCTCAAAAAGTAAATAAAGTAACAAACAAAAAAGAAAAATATACAGAGTTGGTAGATTTTTCTTTGTTTTTGTTCAAAAACAGAACAATACCATATGGTAGTCCATTTATGCTTAAATTGGGGGATGAATTAGGAAATGACTTTAGCTACTCTTTTAAATTGCAAATTAGCTAGGCCTTCCTATTTTTGCATAAAGTCCCTTATAAATGATGCTAACCTAGCCCAATTAAACAACATAAAATTGGCTTCCTTTTCTGAAGGAGCAAATTATCAGGGCTTCTGACTTCAGTGCCTGATTGAATCTAAAGTGAAATTTTTCTTTAAGGTTGTACACTGAGGGACATAGTCGTTCTCACTAGTACAGAGCAGTGTCTAGGAAGCAGCTGTTAGTAATTGCTTTTTAAGAAAACACAATCACTTCTTGCTCTTTTGGGACGCAAAAAATGAACAAATATGGAAAAGCTACCATAGATAAAATTATTCAGAATTCAAATTGGAGCCTGCAATTTGAAGTAGTGAAGAGGTCAGGTAGAGATGAATCAATTTGGGTTGTAACACACTTGTGCATGGGAGCAATGCTAGGAATCTCTCTGTATAGCTATCCTTAACTCAACTAGGAAAAACGCTTTGTCTTTCTTATTATGCTTATGTCTTCTCTTCAACAAAATTAGAGATAAGGGCAGAACAGGTTCTGCCTGGAAGCAAGGGGTGTGGAGGGGAGAGGGAGGGGGTGTGGGCAGGGGGAGAAATGACCCAAACCATTGTTTGGGTATGAACATATGAATATATGAATAAAAATAAAATAAAATAAAAACCTAATACTTTACTGAATTCAAAAGACATGGAAGCCAAGTGCTGGTGGCTCACACCTGTAATTCTAACTACTCAGGAGGCAGAGATCAGGAGGATTGTGGTTCAGAGTCAGCCTGGGAAAATAGTTCATGAGACCCTATCTTGGAAAAACCATCACAATTAAAGGTCTCGTGAGTATAGACTCAGGTGTATGCCCTGAGTTCAAACCCCAGTACTGCCAAAAAAAAACCAAACAAAAAACATGGAAAGGTGAGCTCCCTATGTACAGTATTGTCTGACATGGAGGGACCACAGTACGTGTACCTTGACTAGAGATTGAACCCAGGGCCTCTCACATGCTAAGCATGTGCTCTACCACTGAGCTATAACTGTAGCCCCATATGGGGGGTGAGGTGGACCAAAGTATATTATATAGATATATAAACCCACCAAATACTCATGAAACCCACCAGGTACTGTTTGAAAAGGGGTGGAGAAATAAGGGAGATAAGGGAACATAAGAGAAGGGGTAAAACTTTTTCAAAGTACACTGCACACATCTATGAGATTATCACATTGATATTCCCCTTGTGCTATCACGTGCTAATTAAAAAGTAAGACAAAAATAAAAAAAGATGTAGAGACTTTTACAGCCAGTCATAGGGGAGTCATACATTGAGTCATGTTGCTTCTTTTTGTTTTAATTATAGAAATTTTCCATGATAAAATGAATATAGAGAAAATAAACAGGAAATGAGATCCAGACTGAATCATGTCAGGTAGCCAATAATATTAATAATTAATTCAGCAGTGGATCTGAGAATATAAAAACTATATACAGTCTCATTCGTAATTTCTCTAACCACCCCAAATACAACTGAGTCATTCCACAGGACATCAACTTTTAGGTGAATAAAATGTCATTAGCATGTTAAAGAAGACAAATCTTTGAAAAGTGTGTCATTTCCTTTCTCCATTTTGATAATCTAAAGTTATCTTATTACTTAAGATTTGCAGTCTACAATTTATGAGTAGGCTGTTATTTTTCACAAGTTTTTAAGTTAGTTGTCAAATAGTACAGATTTAGAACTGATTTGGGGCTTGGTGTGGTAGTGTGTGCCTATAATTCTAGCTACTTGGAGTCATAGATAGGAGAAACATGGTCTGAGGCCAGCTACAGGTAAAAATGTGAGAACCTAAATGAAAAATAAGTAAGATAGAAAAGGGCTTGGACTGTGGCTCATGTAGGAGAGTATCTGCCTAGCAAGTATGAGGTCCTGAGTTCAAACCCCACTATCAACAAAAAAAGAAAAGAACTGATCTTTAATTTTTCACTCCAGCCCACAAATAAGCAGATAGCTAAAGTATATTTGTCTAAATTATAGATCTATTTTTAGACTTAGTTCTAGGTCCTGAAATTAGAAAAAAATTGAATAAGGCATAGTAAAAATAGTTTCTTTTCACCTTTCTGGGCAAGGGTCAACACTAGGGAGATTTTTCACTGCTTTGCTGTGGTGGTTGGGTAGTGGGTGAATGGTAGTGGGTGAAATGGTGTTCATGGTTGATTGTGGTGGTGATGTGGTGGTACGTGACAGCAATGGTGGTGGATGTGGTTGGTGGTGGTGACAATAGTGATGGTGTGTGTGGTTATTGTTGGTGATGGTAGTGGTGATGGGTGTGGTTGATGGTGATGGTTACAGCAGTGGTGGTACATGTGGTTGATGATAGTGACAGCACTGGTGATGATATAAGTGGTGATTTACAGTAGTAGTGGTAGGGGCGGTAGGTGGTGGTGACAGCAGTGATGGTAACAGCAGTAGTGGTAGGTGTGGTTGTTGGTGGTGACAGGGGTGATGTGTGTGGGTGGTGGTGAGGACAGTGGTTGTGGGTGTGGTCACTGGTGGTGGTGACAGCAATGGTGGTGACAGCACTGGTAGTGGGTGTAGTTGGTGGTGGTATGAAATGAAGTTCATATTTCCATATAGAGGAACTTCATTGGCCTATCATTCTAGACCTTTGTCATTGTCCCTCAAGTAATTTCCTGCTAGGTGTCTGGAGAAAGGAGCTGGCTCCTGTGGCTCAGTCCCTTTGAATCTTCACTTTGGGATCTGTAGTGGTGTCCATGTCTTTCCTCTGAAATCAGGTAAAGGGAGACTGTCTGAGTAGAAAGACTCACAAATTGTTTAGCTTTGTCAGAATAAGCACTTTTAATTCAATGACGGTTATTAGGATGCCCTGCTGCTTGCAGATCTAAACAATGTTTAAAAAACTGCTTTATCAAAGCTAAAGGTGGCATTATTGTCTCCATCAGTCTGGTGCCCACATCTTGGTCTCCCTTTAAAAGTAGTTTCCAATTTATGTAGACAGGAGAGGTGTAGTTGATTAGCCCCTTAAATCCACAGGTGTATATATGATTCTCCCCTCTCCTCCTAGGACATCTACCCCTTCAAAACCTCCTCATCTCAGTCAGCCTGTTTCTACAATCCCTATGAAAACTCTGGTTCCTTCAGAGTATATGCTCTTGACACTAATCACAGTAAGAACTTACATTTGCATTGTACTTTATAATTTACCAAGAGTTCAGACCTAATTTTTACATCATTTGTCCTTCACAACAGCCCTGTGATATAAAAGGGAAGAAATTACAACATTTTACAAAAGCAGACGGAAGTTTAAGAGACTTAGCTTAGAAAACAGAGCTGGGAAGTGGTGGAGTTCAGTTTGGCATCACTTCTCACTCTAATTCACTTCCTCATTTCATCCCACAAATATATGAATGGCAAGTAGTTTATTTCTTCAAGGTAATGGCAAATGCTATTAGGCCCAGTGTGACAGTACATGCCTAAAACTGCAGCTACTTGGGAGGCAGAAGTAGAGAGATTATGGTCTGAGGTTGGCCTGGGCAAAAACTAGCAAGACTCTATCTCAAAACTAAGCTTGGCAGGGTGGTGCACACCTATGTCCCCAGCTACTCAAGAGGTGGAGGTAAGAGAATCACAGTTCAAGGCCATTTTGGGTGATGTCCACACCAGACCTCATCTGAAAAAACAAAAAAACAACTAACCAAACAAAAATACTGAAAAAAGGAAAAATCACTAGGGACATGGCTCAAGTAGAAGAGCCATGCAAGGTAAGGCCCTGAGTTTAATCCCCAGTACCAAAACAACAACAATAAAAACTGAAACACCAAATAAAAAAAAGAATAGTGGCTTCCAAGGACTGGGAGACAAAGGCACTGGTGAGATGGGGAGTTATTTGATGGACATAGTTTCAGAATTGCAAGAAAAGTCTGTGGAGATTGATCACAAAACAATGTGAATCTAGTTAACAGTGCTGAACAACACACTTTCAAAGAGTTAACATTGTATGTTATGTGTATCTTACCAGAATTTAAAACCAAAATAATTCTTAAAAAGAAGACACTTATTAACTTAAAACAATCTCTTCATAATGGAACCATAATCAAGTGAAAAATCCTTCATGTCCTGTGAACACCTGAGTACAGGTGGCAGAAGGGGGCAGGAAAATGCAGACACTTTAGAGTCAAAGGATGAGATGCAGGTAAGCCAAAATTAATGTCTATTTCTTAAATGAAACACTCACCAAATAAAAAAAAAGCAAGAAGAAACTTCTTTCCCTCTTTACACATTTTCATCTGTCACCTTTCACTTCAAAGATTGTCCAGGTCACTGCTGTCCATCAGCAGGGTGGGTAATGAACTGATAGCATCAGTTTGATAGAAATGCAGATTCTCAGGTTATACTGCAGACCTGCTGAGTCAGTCTTAATAAGAACACCATGTGTCTGCACCATTACCACAAATGAGTGTAAATGCTCCCAGTTTCCTCACACCTGCATAATACCTCATGGTGCATAGGTGTATGACACATAGTCACATACTGCCAACAAAAGTATGGGCATGTGGGCTGGGCATGGAGGCTTCTGCCCGTAATCCCAGCTATTGTGGAGGAGGAGATCAGAAGGATTGCATTTCAAGGTCAGCCTGGGCAAAAGGTTAGCAAGAAATCATTTCAACCAGTAAGCCAGGTACAGTGGTGGGAGCCTGTGATCTCAGCTAGGACAGGAATTGAGGATAGCCCAGGTAAAAAGGAGAGACCCTACCTGAAAAATAACTAAAGCAAAAAAGGGCTGTGTTGTGGCTCAAGTAGTAGAACACTTGCCTAGCAAAAATAAGTCCTTGACTTCAAACCCCAGTACAAAAATGGGAACTGATGCATGAACAATAAGACAAAATCAGCTTTACTAGAGCTTTGACTCAAAGATGTAAAATGAAAAAATGAAGTTCTCCTTCCAGGAGACCAGAATTACAATGGCAATTCTGTGACTATGAGTCTTTTGCCAAATCACTTCACTTCACCAAAACTTTGCTTCTTCATGGATAAAATAGAGATGATAATCTCTGTATGACCTACACTAGGGAACTACAAAGTTTCAGCAAAAAAGATAATATAAAAACATTCTGAAAGTGTGAAATGCTTTCATTAGAAATATAAAAACAACTAAATTTTCTGGGTATGTATGAATGCTTATATAAGAATGTCTTAAACCAACATGAATGCATTTCATTAAAATTATTTGTGTATGTGTATATACATATGAATGTGCACACACATAGTTTCTTAAACACAGGTAGGCAAATGAATTTTGCCTTACAATTCTAGAGTACAATGCCTTACATCAGTTCTCATAAGAACAGGAGACTGTCACCCAAATCCTTTCTGAAATGAAGCAGGTAGAGAGAAAGCTATCCACATTTATTAAGCAATGTCACAAAAATGATGACTACATTTAGAGTCCAGAAGGTACCTTGTTCCTGGAACACTGCAGGGAAAAGAACCTCTTTTTGCTCTACCACTCTTGTGGAGCAAATAAATTCTGGCTCCTTGTTGAGAGAAACATACCATTTATTAGTTGAAAGCACAGCCCTTCAAATCAGGAGACCTAGAAGCAAACCCTGATGGACCCTTACCTCTGTAAAATGAGGTTGGGCAATAAAATGCTGTGCAGCCACAGTTACTTTGAGGAATTAAATGACATAGTAAACATAGGTGGTTGACATGATGCCAATATTTAATGAGCACTCATTACATGCTAGCTATTATCTCCACCATTGTCATCATGATCCACTTGAAAGGAAAGATCTTGTTCACCAACACCTTCTTTACAAGGGGCACAGCAAGACAGGAGCATACTGAGAGAAATGTTTCACACACAAGAGCTCCAGGTGATGATGAATGAGGATGCAGAGGTAAGTAGCCAGCACAGAGCAGAGAGTAAAGTTCAGTAATGAATTGTTAATATCCTATAGATTCTCATCTTACCAAGGACGTATGGACTTCAGGAGCTTACAGTACTGTCAGGAGAGGTTATAGGAGAGAATAGTCTTTTCCACATTCAAAAGGGGATCTGATAGTCAAAGCAAAGGTGTACCTTCCCTCTCCTCTTGAATTCTTCCCACTCTTCCACTGTGGTGAGGTAATTTACGGCTGCATACTCAATGACTGACAGAAACACAAAGAGAGAGCTGACCCACAAGTATACGTCCACAGCCTTGATGTAGGACATCTGGGGCATGGAGGTACTCACACCAGTGACAATCGTGGACATGGTCAGCACCGTGGTGATTCCTGCCATTCAAGAAGAGTGACAAGCTCAGTAATATGGTCATTCAAGATCTGGTGTTGGATTATGTTAGCTGGTGAATTTCTAGAACAATATCAATCTGGTGATCAGAGGGAGTGGTGTGAAACAAACTCACACTGGATCTTTCACCCTCTGTTATTTGTTCTGTTGCTCATTAATAATGTATATTTTCTTCCACCTAAAGACAGTGAGTCTGGGCTCGTGGAGTGGCTCAAGTCGTAGAGTGCCTTCCTAGCAAGCATTAGGCACTGAGTTCAAACCCCAATACTGCAAAATAAAGAAAAAAAAATCCAGACATTTAGCCAAACATACCTGCAGCTCGCCATCAGATGGGCCTCTTCTACACATTCCAGAAAGGTAAAAATGGATTCAATTCTTAAAAATTATTCTGAGAAAGTAATCAGTCATTTTTCACTAGCCTTTCCCATTATCCAATAACTTTTACTTTAAGAAATTGTCCTTGTGTCTACCTTTAACTCTTTCATGCTGTAGGGGAGCTCATTTCCCCTTGAATTATCTGTAGTAGCATCGATGACTGATATTCTCCATATTATTCTTTCATAGAGAATGCTGAAAAGACATCACTATTCTCTTTGTCCCTTGTTAATGAAACTATACTTCAAATGAAATTCATGGTGTATGTGTGCCAGTTAAGGCTCAGTTCTTTGTACTTACTGAGCAACTGCTAAATGTCAGTCAATTTTCTCTTCTCCTCTTTGCTTCTTACCCTCTTTTCCTTCTCCTCCCCTCTTTTCCTATCTAGAAGCTTTCTCTTTCCCTTTCCTTTTTCTCCTCTTCCTTTTCACTTTTTGTTCTCTTGCATGAGTATCACAGGTGAGGGATTCTTGGGGGTAACAGAGAAACAAGTGACTCAGTTTCCTTTATAAAATACTGGTTGTGTGGAGGGCCATTTAATGTCTACACTCATTTCTTAGAGGGATATTGCAAAAGTAATACCTAGAGAGAGAGTATTGTATTATAAATATTCAAAATGCATATTGACTGGCATGGTTTAATATCTTAACTTCCCACTAGGGAGGTGAAAATGAAATCCTTACTGATTTTTATAAGTTGTAAGTTATGTACACTTTTGTGTATATAACTTATATACACTTTTGTCTGAAAGTGTATATGCCAGAAAGGTCTATCATGTATTTTGAATCAGTGACTGTTGGACTAATAAAAAGAAATTGCATTATCTGTATTTACCAGGGAGCAAAAATTATCAGTTATTTTCTTTAAAAGGTTCTTAGTTCAACTAATTTACTATAACCTTATTTATTTTAAAACAAGCCTTCTAGATTTTCTTTGGTTAATATGAGCAATAATAAAAATAAAAAAGAATGGGAAAGTGAGGAGGAGGAATAGTTGGATGGGGAGGGGGTCAATGCTGAGAAAACTAACATATATATTCCTAAAGCAATAGAATTTAAAGTTAGGTCTATTATAGCTATATTAAACACATTTACTATGTCTTGAACTACCCCTTGAAAATACATTAATCTTGACAGATAGTACTCCTTCCAGATCCATTAAAGTTAACATCCCAATAAAGGAGTTTTGAATTATATGAAGTGATCATTTAGTTAAAGAAAGGTCATGTACTGGGACTACATGTGCCTACTGATATTGCTATGCATAGTTAGGAAAGTGTTATGAGAAAATAATTAGTCTGGCCATTTGATTCAGCTCCCCTGAGCCCTACAGCTTCACCATATTAACTTTTAATGACATGTATGAGGTGAATTATGACAATTTTATTCTTTTTTATTTTTCACTGGCCATTTTTGGCCATGTATGATAGAGATGTTCATTGACCAGTATCACAGCAGTGGGAAGACAGGCATCACTTGTGGACCTACTGAGTTTGTTTCTTTCAGTAGCTGTGCTGCTGTGTACTTTTCCTTTTTCTCTTGAAAGGAAAGGGTATCTCCACTAACCTTTGAATGAGTGTAGGTATTTCCCTGTAAGCCTAGGCTGAAAGAAAATATGAAGTAATGTACTGGAAAGTAAGATGGGCTGGATATTCCAATAGTATCCTGTGGATGGAAACTAACAACCATTTTCCCTCAAAGATGGTGCACATACCATTAGGAGCTCTGGTCATGTCGATGATAATTAATGAATTGCTCTTGTTTCCTAGATATTGGCTGTTCCAGATATGTGTAATATCCTCTGTTAAGAAATAAATTTCTCTATGAGTTGCTACAGGCCTGAAAGCTTTGATAGTTTTCTTTGGACACAATTTCTTTATAGTTAAGACCCATTACCTAATAAATAGTACCAAGAATGGCATAATCCATGCACTGAGGCCAAGCAAGAATGATGGCAGCAAGGAAAGAAGGAGGAAGGTGGTAATGAAAAGAAAATTATAATACTACTTCCCTCCATAATGGTTAAAATAACCTTGAGTAAATTTATAATTGCATCACATTCATTACAAATTGTGATGGGTATTATTTCCTATGAGAATTGTCTAATCACAATTGATATTTCTAAGCTACAGAGCTTCCAATTCTTTATCTGGAAAATTACTAAAAATACAATGGGCTAATAAAGGAAATGCAAATCAAAATGGCAATGAGAGTCTATCTTGTCCCAGTTAGAATGGCAAGCATCAAGAAACCAATCAACAACAAATGCTGGTGAGGATGCAGGAAAAAAGGAACCATTATACTCTATTAGTGGGAATGTAAATTAGCACAGCCTTAAGAAACTAAAAACAGAACTACCAAATGATCCTGCTATACCACTCTTGGGCATATATCTGAAGGAATATAAATCCATATTCAAAAGAGAAACCTGTATGCCCATGTTCATAGCTACACTATTTATAATTACTAAGCTATGTAACAAGACTAGGTGCCCAACACCTGATGCTTGGATAAAGAATATGTGGCATATATATAGCAGAGTACTATTTAGCAATAAGGAAGAATGAAATTAAGTTATTTGCAGGAAAAAGGATGTTAAGCGAGATAAGCCAAGTTCAGAAAGACAAATATCTCATGATTTCACTCATACGTGGACTCTAACCTTAAAAAAAAAGAATAATATGACACGTATAAAAAAGGGAGACTTTGGGAGAAGCCAGTGGGAAGGGGAGGGGAGAAAGGAGATAGTGACGGAAGTATATTATAGATGTATGAAAATAGCACAATGCAACCCATCAAAACTGTTAAAAAGGAGGAAGAAGGAAAGGGAGTTAAAAAAGAGTAATACAGATGGGGTGAGTTTGATCAAAGTACATTATAAGCATGTTGTAAATATCACAATGAAAACCCTTTGTACAATTAGTTCAAGCTAATAAAAAATTAAATCACAATGAGCTAAACACTGGCAACATAACAACTATGTATTGAATATGAATTATGAACAGGGCACTGTGGTTGTCACTGCCATAACAAAAAGATGGCAGCAGTGACCCGTGTCCTTAACGAGCTGCTTTCTAATAGAAGAGACAAGATTAAATACCCTTGCCTGTTAGCTAAACACAAAATAGAAGTTAGGCACCTAGGGGATGCCATGTGGCTCAAAGATGGGACAGACTATTTGTGCGTGAATACATCAGCTAAAATTTCTTGCTGTGGAGAGGCAACAGGATTTTGACAGAGGACAACAGGTAGGAAAGACATTCTAGGCAGAGAAAAAGTAGAACAAATGTACAGAGGCGAGATAAGCAGTTAGTCATGGGAGCCTCTTTGAGTACACTGATTGTCCAAACTGGCTAAAGCTTAGTGTTTGGTGCTTATCTAAAATTCGGATTTAACCGAGAGTCTTGTATTTCATCTGGCAACACTCAGGGGCACCTTGGATTCCAAGCTGAGAGCATTTACTTCAATGACATTTTAACATGAGAGTACATTAGCGTGATCCCATTTGCATTTAGGGAATATTATTCTAATCGGAGGGTTGAATGTGATCAAGAAGAGCAGGAGGTAAAATAAGCAATTATATGGCCTACACTATGGCTTATGCATATTAGTAAAATGTGTTCCTTCCTCTGGAACCACGTGTCATGAAGCATGGGCTGAATTTCTGCTTCCAACCCCCTTCTGGTCAGATGTCAAAAGCCCTGAAAGATGACCCTGAATAGATAAGCCTCTGTTAGGACAATTGAGGGGAAAATAGCAAGGGTCACAGCATTGGCAAAAGGCGGGAGGAAGGGAAAAAGCAGGTTAAGCAGATTAAGCCCTTTTTATATGGAAGATTGTAAATATTTAGATACTTAGAGTTACAGTTCTCAGTGTGGCCTTAGACCCTCTTGGGTCTTCCAAGATTTTTCAGAGCCTCTGTGTCGTAAAAATGAGTTTGATAACAATACCCACATATCATTTACTTTTGTTTTTCCTTTTAAAAAAACATTTAATGCCACTCAGAGTGACTAAATCAAATTAATACTTATAACTGTTCCTTTTTGTTTTGCTTTTTTTTTGTTTATTTATTCACATGTGCATACATTGTTTGGGTCATTTCTCTACCCTGTCCCCCTCTCCCACCCTTCCCCTCTTCCCCCCCTCAGTTCCAGGCAGGTCCCATTCTTCCCTTACTGATTTTGTTGAAGAAAAGACAAAAGCATAATAAGGAAGACAAAGCGTTTTTGCTAGTTAAGGATAGCTATACAGAGAGATTCCTACTATTGCTTTCGTGTACCCATGTGTTACAATCCATGTTGATTCATCTCTAACTGATCTTTACATTGGTTCCTGATCCACTGCTCATGATAACCTGTAATTTTAAAGTTCCTGTATTAGTTCCTCTGGAGTGGGGACATCAAATGCTTTCATGTTTTGGGTTTTCTACCTATTCCTATATCTCCCATATGTGCTCTCCCCTTGTCATGTAATCCAAGTCCAACCACATTGCTGCATTTGCCCTAGATCTAAAGTCTGCAAATGAGTGAGAACATACGATTTTTGGTCTTCTGAGCCTGGATAACCTCACTCAGAATGATGTTCTCCAGTTCCATCCATTTACCTGCAAATGATAAGATTTCATTTTTCTTCATGGCTGAATAAAATTCCATTATGTACAAGTTCCCTGACACTTGCATTGAGGGTATGACAGTGATGGCAGGTATAGCATGGAACCATGCAGCAGCACCAACTTACTTACTTGTCACTATGTTTCACCTTCTAGCACTCAGAGTAAACAGAGTAAAAACAGAAGAATTGTTAACTTTACCAAATTATAGACCTTGAATGTATGCCTTGCTTTTTTTTTTTAATGTTTAACATTCTGGATAATGAAATGAGAAATATAAATAAGATATATATATATATATTCAGCAATGAAATTGTGAGCTGAACTAGACCTTTTTTGTAAGGGAACACTAGTTTTACTCAAAAGAACAATGGAAGACATTTGTGGCTCATATTTGGGTATCTGACAGACATTTCCTTAAAATCTAGCAAAGTCAATACATTTCTTCAAGTCAAAGAACTAATAATGTTGATTGTCAGCCATGTGATTTACACTTTCAAGGCCATATTACAGTGCTGCCAAATTTACATGTATTACTGTGAGCCTCTTACCTCTTAAAATTTTTCTGATGAGAAATTAGTGGTGATATGAATGAAATGTGCTTTTTATATTTTAAAATGAATTATGAAAATATTTGGGAGATCTGTATAATTCAGTGAACTAGTATTTTCCAAATGACCAATGCAGTGGGTAAACATGTTCAAAGTACAAAAATAGACCAGTGGATTTTATTCTAAAAGAATAGAAAAAAATTATTGGTATGGTTTCAGATTCTACATGCAACTAACCTTTAAGAAGCTATTGAGTTCTGGTGTAATGTGAAGGAACACTATTCACAATTATCTGGAAAGGATATTAAAATCCTAATCATTTTTCAGCTACATATTTGATAAGACCAGATTTCTCCCTATATTTCAACCAAAACCTATTGTAATAGACTGAAGAAGTGAAGATAGTATCCCTTTGTCTAACTGTCAGACCTGAAACTATGAAACAACTGGAAGAAAATTTAGGGCAAACATTTCAAGGCGTTGATATAGGTTATGAATTTTTTGATAATATACCCAAAGCCCAGGAAATAAAAGAAAAAATAGACAAAAGAGATTATATCAAACTAAAAAGCTTTTGCACAGCAAAGGTAACAATGAACTGAGTGAAGAGATAACCTACAGAATGGGAAAATATTTTCTGCAAACTATCTGACAAATGACTTATATCCAGAATATATAAGGAACTTTAAAAATTCAATAAAAATAATCCAATTTAAAATAAGCATAAAAATAGATATTACTCAAAAGAAGAAATTCAAATGGCCAATCCACTTAAGAAAAATGCTGAAATTCATTAGCTATGAGGGAAATGCAAGTCAAAATACGGGAGATCACTGTAAGAATAGCTATTATCAAAAAGATTAAAAATAACAAATTATGTCAAGGATATGAAGAAAAGGGAACTCTCATATATTGTTGGTGGAAATGGTATAGCCATTATAGAGAATAGTATAGAGTTTCCTCAAGATACTAGAAATAGATCTACCTATAGATCTACCATATGATCCAGCTATCCCACATCTGGTCGTATATCCAAAGGAATGAGATCAGCATATGCAAAGACTCCCACTCCCTCATCATTGTTGCTGCACCATTCACAATAGCTAAAATATATAATCAGACTAGAGACTCATCAACAGATGAATGGATAAAAAGTGGTATATTCTGATATCCTGTTATGTATAGAAAATGAATGGAACTGGAGGGCATTATGTTTAGTGAAATGAATCAGACACAGAAAGATAAATTCTACATATTCTTTTTCATATGTGGATGTAAAAAAAATCAAAATCCATAACAGTAATTACTAGAGGCTGGGAAGGTAAGAGGGAGAAAGAGTAGAGATAAATTGGATAATCCCAAATAGAGTAAGATGGAATAATTTCTAGTGTTCCATAGCATACTGGGGGCTATAGCTTACAATAACCTATTTTATATTTTATGAATTACTAGAAGAGAGTAGTATGAAGGCTCCAAATAAAAGTAATGGTAAGGAGATGGAAATGTTAATTACCCTGATTTGAACAATACATGTTGTATACAGGTATTGAAATGTATACATGAACACATTGCACCTTCCAGGAATTGAGTAGGATGGCATTTGGAAAGGCAAGTAAAGCAGAGGGAAAAGTCTGAACAGACTTGAGGGTGGTAAGAAGTAAAAGACTGAGAATATAGTATTGTTACAGGAATACTGATGTTCTTTTTATTATAATAAAAGGAGCGAGGAGAACTTGTGATTTGTATATTTTTTTACATAACTGTGCATAGAAATTTCCTAAGGGAATTTCAGGGTGACTTAAATGTAGTATTTCTGGGCTCTCCACTCACTTTAACCTACTAGCACTTCAAGCTGTCATTCTCACATTGTAAAAGCAGAGCAGTCAATTTGAGGAATCTGATTAAAAATCATGCTCCTAAACCTTCAGAGGTTGATTGCCTTTCCCACCCTTTCTTGAGGGCTGGAGCCCTCAGTCTCCTGTTTGGGTCTGTGTTGCCCCCACTGTGGGACAAGGGTCAGGACACAGATGCTCTGATGTGAAGACACAGTCAAAATAACAATTATTCATTCAGATGGCATTTTTTCTTTGAAGATAGTCAAGCCTCAAATGCTTGTAGATTGAGGCTTTTTATAGGGGAAAGAGGTGAAGAAATTATTAATATTAATAATTTATGTCTTTCAAATGATCTTCTGAAGTATGCATTAACTTCAAAACCATCCTTTCTGGAATGAATTGTGTGATAATTACAATGATTTTGAAGCACTTATCACAATCTTCTCTCTAAATGGAGTATTACAGGTGAAAGAACAAAATCAGATGAAAGGAGTGAGCTCTGCCCTTAACCAGCCAAGAAGCCAAGTGGGATTAACTCTTGCGTTCTCATTAATCAGCATGCCACCTAAGTGCTTAGCTTGGCACCTTCCACTTTTAAGGACTCAATAACTGCTAAGTGGGTCTGAAATGGTTGCATAAATCAGTGTGTATGACAGTGGTATATAACATGGTAGATGGAGTAGATAATCACCCTGTGTGGTGGCTTAATGAGCCGGCATTGTCTTTCCACCCAAAGTCTCTTGTCAACTACAGTGCAGAAGTGCTTAAAATTCCATGTGGTGGAATCTGATTTTGGACTTTGAGTTAAGCCCTAATTTCTAATCAGCACTCATGTTCCCAAGTTAAGAATGCCCCACTTCAGCATCTAATAAGACACTGACTGAATAGTGGGAACGTAAGTTTCTTTCATGATATATGAGTTTGTCATGAAAAAGTAAATGGACTTGGATAAGGGAGAAAGGCATTCCCAGAAGAGGAAAATGGATAGCAATTCAAAGTGAAGTCATTTTAGCTTTGTAATCCCACCCTCTTTCCTTACTATTACCCAGCTGCAAATCATTCAGCAGAGCCTTCATCTCCAAAGTCTGGGTTCCCAAGAAAAAAAATCCCAATTACAATTTAAACTTGTACCAAGAGAAATACTTTAACCTCAACATGCATCTCTGTCCCTATTAGCCCACCTTTCTCCTACATGTCCCATCCATTTTTGTTTACCCTCTAGACTTCCTCCTATTTCAGCATTTTACAAAGTGTGGGAAGATTTATTTACCAGGGACACTCTTGCAGGAACGGCTCTTCTGTCAATCCAGAATGACACCCATGAAAGCATTACCATCAGCATGGCTGGGAAATAGGTTTGCAGCACAAAGAAGAAAACGTGCCTCCTTAGCACAAAGTTGATGAAAAGCCTATAGTACCAACCTATGAGAAAGAGCCAAAGTTGTCATTAGAACAGGCTTCCTCTTGGAAACATCATGTTTAGTGAAAGGACTCACTTTTTTAGACTCTTGAATTCTTAGGGGACATGGAATTTACACACCCAACTGTGTTTACACAGCCTTAGCTGGGATCTTCCAGATCCTAGCACTCTACCAATATTTGTTCAATAATCTGATCATTCGTCTGCTTAATTATTTGACTCAAAGCTCTAACTTCTGAACTGTAGTTCATGGATGAATGTAATTATATCTTGGGGGTGGCCTTTAAAGATCTTTCTCCATAATATGTCACATTTACAGTGTTTCTGCAAGGAATCCTCAACACATGGTTGATGACTACATATAGTGGCCAATAAACCATTTTTTAGCTAAAAAAATGAGAAGAAACATTTTATATGAAAGAAAGGTTCATAGTAGGTAACAGGTCATTGAATTCTAACTTGGAATCTAGATAGTTAGGGATTCAAAGAGGAGGGGGAAGGACACCCCTAAACTATTCTCTTTCTTATTTATTTATTTTTTTGGTGGTATTGGGGTTTGAACTCAATGCCTTGTGCTTGCTAGTAAGAGCTCTACCACTTTAGCCATGCTGCTAGCCCATTTTGCTTTTATTTTTTGGAAAGGGTCCTGTGCTTTTTGCCTGGGGTAGGCCTTGTACTGAGACTGTGATCCGCTTACCTCTGCCTCCATGTAGCTGGAATTAGACATGTACCACCACAGCTGGCTCGTTTTTTGGGATAGGCTTTCCCTAACTTTTTGCCTGGGCTAGCCTTGAACTCTGATCCCCATAGCTCTGCCTCCCAAGTAGTTGGGATTACAGTGTGAGTCACTGTGCCTGGCATATTATCTTTATTTAAAATCTTATGGACATGATGATATATCTATGATAAATCTGAAAAAAGGTAAGCAAATGATGATATTCATTTACATTCTGTTGAAATTACATAAACTTATGCTGGGAATACTGTTTATTTGATCTAACAAAAAAAAATCACCAATTCTGGTCATATATACACACCTATTTTGTCTAGGTTTCTCTATTCATATTAACTGTAAGGAAGTTTAAAGCAATATTTTTGGACCATCTATAGGACTTCTTTGAGTGCCAGTCTGTAATGACCACCACAACCACCAACAGGTTAAGTAATAGTTAACCTTGTTTTTCATTTTTCTCTCTTTCACACATTTCTAATTCATATTCCCTTGCCTTATTTCACAATAATCATTATGCTAAGCTTTTACAATATTTATTGAATAATGAAATGAGTTATATGACAAATAAATATGAAAATATACTTTTTATGAATAGGTGGTAAAATAATTTTTTGGAGAGCCAGGCATGGTGCCACACGCCTGTATTCCCAGTTACTGGCCAGTGTGGGCAAAAGTTAGCAAGACCTTTTCTCCAAAACAAGTCAGGCATAGTAGTGGATGTCTATAATCCCAGTTACTCCACAAGAGGAAGTATGAGAATTGTGGTCTGAGGTTGGTCTAAGCAAAAGTGTGAGACCCTATCTGAAAAATAAAACTAAAAAGCAAAAGTTCTGGGGGCATGTCTCAAGTGGTAGAGCACCTGCATAGATAGAGTGATGTCCTGAGTTCAATCTCAAACCCTATTTTTCTGGGATAAATGCAGTTTTGAAATGAAATTATTCAAAGCCTAGAGACTATATGTTAAATTATAAAACAAAGTCATAAGTGTTATAAAGTTAAGAGAACATGTCAACTAGTTTCAGTGGTAATTTCTTAGGAAACTCAAGATGGCAGACCTATTGGATGGATCAGGTAAATATTTTGACATTTGTTCTAAGATATACACCAAGCCACACACTAAACTGGCAGGTGCTAACCATAGTATCCTTTTTCAATTAAGTGCTTATCATCTTTCTTATGAACTTCTGCAGTTCTCTCACTGTCATTGATATGCTTCAAGAATGTAAAAAAATGTAATTACTAGGGGTAATGAATGGTATATCAGATACAGAATTCTAATATTGAAATATACATTAACTTTTCAGAAATTCATTGTCTTATTGTTATTGCTTACTTTATTATTGTGTGCATTTGAGAGTTTTGATTTTGGTTCTAGAGTAGAATAACATCATGACACCACAGATAGCTTCATATAATTATTATGAGGTTAAAATAAATAGGGAATGCCTAACAATTAATTCATAAAGATACTATTAATGCATAGTCACCCCTTGGTATCTGTAGGGGATTGAATCTGAGATCTTTTTGAACACAAAATCTATGGAAAACTCAAGCTTTCATATAAAATGGTGTAGTATTTGCATATCACCTATCCACATCTTCACATATACTTTAAATCATCTCTACATTATGATAATGCCTAATACAATGTAAATGCTATATAAATAAATGTTATACTGAATTAGTTAGGGAATAATGATAACAAAAAACTCATACATGCTCAGTACAGACTCATTTTAAAAAATATTTTGTATTCATGATTGGTTGAATCCATGGATGCAGAACCAGTGGATACAGAGGGTTGGCTATGTGTGGCTTTTTGTTTATTATTAAGTCATAAAATAAATAGAGAAAACTGTATTCTTTCTTTTTTAAAAAATGAGTTATTTTATTTTGTGGTGCTGCAGAATCAAGCCTAGGGCCTCATGAATGCTAGGCTAGAGCTCTACCATTGAGTTATATCCTTTCCTTACTCATAGATTTCTGGAGGATAATCTGGTGGGTTTTTTTTTTTGGGGGGTAGGATGGTTGGAAGGGGTAATCAAGAAGGAGAAATGCTGCTTCATCTGTGCTTCTTCAGGGAAGGGACAACTAGAATGATATTACAGTTGAAGCTGCAAGACAGGAGTCCCTTTATCCACCATGACAGGTAATGCTGTTTTATAAAGATGTGAAGTCATCATTTTGGGTACTGTAATAAGAGTCTGACTTCATACTTGATGTTTGATGGCTGAGAGCGCTCAAGCTCCCCTTTGCCTCCCCTTCTGCACTACATATGGGGAAGCTAATGAAAAAAACCTGAGCATGCCCTCTTTTCGCACAGGTGAGAAGTTGAAATCATCAAATTCTGCTCCACAAAGGGAAGAACTGCCTCACTCCTATTTTATCCACTTTCAAAACACCATAAAAAACCCTAAGTTGGTTATGGCTTTCTGTTCTCTCATGCTATTTTCATACCTGCTTTGGACCCTGAATTGCTCTCTCTAGAAAGCCTATTACATGAGCAATAACTCTCTTCATGTCCTTTTCTCACATGTATGGCATCATCAGTTTTGACATGTGAATCAAAGTTTTTCTTATGTGTGTATTATATGTGTGTGTGTTTGGGGGTCTCCATGAGCCTCCACCACATGGTTACACAGTAGAAAGAAGAGGAATTTAACACAGAGAGAAAAGGGATGGAGAATTGATAACAAGGAAAATTTGAGGATGGGGGCAATGACTGCAGAGTTGGTTCCCCGACAAGATTTAAGGTTTTATTTCTATAAACAGTCACCTTTAATGGCCTTTTGACACTAAGGCCCCAGGTTATATTAAAGGATGGAGATGATAATGTTGATTGAAAGGGTAATAATAACAATAATAATAATAAAAAAATAAATTACTATGGAGAATAAAAAAATAAAATAAAATAAAAAAGAAAGGGTAAGACTGATAGCTACTAATATTTATTTAGCATTTACTATATGGCTGACAGTATTGTAAGTTATTTAAGTGTGTTAACTCATGTATCTCACAACCTTATGAGGTAGAGAATATTATGGAACCCATTTGTGAGGGTTAGAGATGAAGCAACTTGTCTGATGTCACATTGCTGATAAGCAATAGACCAGGTTTAGAACTTAGGCAGTCTCTCCCCATTACATATGCGATGATAACAAATAATTATTTAATGCATTCCTTAGAGGCAAGAGTCATTTTCTTTGTATATATACACTACATGATTTTAAGTGGTACTGAAAGGGATGAGGGACTGATGCCCTTACCTACATGTTAGCATTAGTAGTAGTGATGGTTTTTGTACAGTGACAAAGCCAAGAAAAAAAAGTGGGGACCCTTGTGGCTATAAATGCAAACTAAGTTTCTATAAATATATTTCTAACTCTTATAACTAGATCTACATGCATAGTTTTTCTGTACAGATAATTTGAGAGTGGTGGTTATGATTGGTAGTTGTAATGATAGGAGTGAAGAAAAATATAAAAAATTATTTTTGATAAAGCTATATATTTAAACAGGATACTAATGTGAGAAAGACACTGGGGTTTGACTCTTAGGAGACCATGTTTAAAAATTCATGGGTAGTGGGAGGCAGTGCTGTCAATACTCATGAACTGAAATAAGTGTCTAAATGTGATTTTTCTGAAATGTGGGAACTAGTTAAGTGAACCCAGATAAGATTACTAATTTCATATTTGAATACAACTTCCAAAAGGCTTTGCTTTGGCATTTTTCTATGCTTAGAGTCCATTTTAATCCTTCTTTCAAAAAATGTACACATGGCAACAAATTTAAAAATACAGAGTGCTGAAATAGATTTAAAATTTCCCCAGTGTATATCTATTTTGCCAAGGTACCTTTTTCTAACTTTTCTCAACTTACAAAACACACATATATACAAATACACACATATATGTATAAATTCTTTCTTCTATAAAAAATATGTGGTTATATTATATAGCCTTCTGTAAGTTTCTTTTAATTTTTAAAAATTTTTTGTGGATAACTCTCTCAACTGTGGTATCTAGAGCTGCACATTTGAACCTAATTCTGTTTTATTCCATTTTTCTTAGGAATCAAAATTCTGTTTTTTGAAATTGTAATCATACTTGAATGTCAAGGATTTATAGCTCATTTTAAAACACTTAAAAGCATCTTTGTAAGAAGTAAGATTTTCAATGCAAGTATTTTGTCTGGCTTTCAACAGACTCTTACACATAAACAGAAGAGATTAAAGCAACTAGTGTTGAGCCTGCCTGGTAGGCCCAAATAAAGAAAGAAACAAAAAGTGGAGCCAATGGAATGATTTAAAGATGAAGTTACAATGTGGAAGTGAAATTTAACTTCTTTTTAAAAAAAGAGAATAGTTGAATGTGTACTGACTGCATATTCATGGACACATATTTTCCAAAATCTGAAGAAATGCTATTGTTATTATTCTATACTTTTGTGTAGAATATACTACTCTTGGATTTCTATGCTTCCTATGTGTCACATTATATTAGAATTAACATTGCAAAGTTCTATGCACAATTTATCATATGTGGAGGGTTTTTCATCATAGAAATAATAAAATGAAAAGACCTATAAATTATACATTATATGTATTATTGTTCATTGTATGTATTCATTTATTTTTCTTTGGGGACATTTTAGTTTATTTACTTTTTGCATACGGTCTTGTTATTTTGCCCTTTTAACTTTGTCTGTAATTCTCACATGTATGCCTTTGCATAGCTGGGATGACAGGTATGTAGGTATGTACTACTATTCTCAGTTTATTGATTGGGGTGGGGTCTTGCTAACTTTTTGCCTGGGCTGGACTTGAACTATGATCATCCCAATCTCCATCTCAGGAGTAGGTGAGATTACATGTGTGAGCCACTGTCCTGTGCATGCATTTCTCTATGTAAGTATTGATTTAATTCAATTTAGACTAAGAATGTTGAAAATTCTGATTAAAATATATGTGTTTATTGATATACTAAAAAGGCAAGGAAAAGAAGAAAGAGGAGCAGAAGAAATAATCAAATTTATCACTATGAGGTAGTATTACAGGGCATTTGTTTTTAAACTTTTCCGAGTTATTTTCAAATCATCTACCATTTATTCATTTGTTCAACAGTTTGCTTTTGAGAATCTTCTATGAGTCAGGAATATATCAGTGGTCAAAACACATTTATGTGTGTAATTTATCAGAAATGGCAATGACCATGACTAAAATTAATAGCATAATTTGCTGAATCACAAGCAATGAAGATAAATACTTCAAATATAAAAATAGAACATTTCTTCTGACTCTAAATAACTAAAGAGTGCTTGGTCCTAGAGAGTCAATTAGCCTCTCTGAGATGCAAATTTTGGTTTTCCTCTTGAAGATACAGGCTTTTAGATGACTTCTCTCCAAGGTCTAAGAGTATTGCAAAACCTTTGAGGAGGAGAACCACTTCTGTCAATATTACCATTGAAATTGTTCTAGTCAGGACAGTTCTGGGCCTCAGGTCATTTGTGGGCACATTTTCTGGCCTGACTATGGCTTCACTAAATCACAAATGGTATTTTTTTTGCCTAAAATGGCCCAGAGTACTAATAACTGGCATGATAATGGGAATGATGGTGGAGGATGAGAGCAGTGCAAGAGCTCAGAAAGAGGCTGCTTTTAAATTTTAGTCAACAGGGATCAAGTATAATTTTAAAAAGTGCTTTGGATAAGTGATACCAAATCAAAAATATATCTGTCACAGTACAGAGCTTACAATAAGGACCCAGTTTTGAATGGATTTTCTATGTGGAGCAAAAATACTCTTAGCTGATTGATTCATTCAGTTGACTTATTGGGTATCTATCATGTGCCAATACATTCTAGGAGTTGGGAAGAAGTGGTAAACAAGGCAGATTCTTCTATGAGGAATTCAGACAATAAAGCAGTGAGAAAAATACATATTTCAGGAAGTAGTCAGTGCGACACTGTCTGAGGCAATACATGAACAAAAGTCAGAATGAAGTAGGGAGCTGGCCATGGCAAGATGTGGTACAGAGGGACGCATTCTAGGTGGAGGGAAGAGAAGGGCAAAGAAGAGGCCAGGACATGTAATGAGATGGGTATATTTGAGGACAAGCAAGAAGGTCAGTGGGGCAGAGAAGGATGGAGGGGCTGGGGTTTTCGGTAAGGGCACAGGAATATGCAGGGGTTATATCACGCTAGGAAGGTTGACTCTGGTTATAAGTATGGTGGGAAAACACTGAAGGATTTTCAGCAGGAAAAGAACTGTTTTCTTCATATTTCAAAAGCTCATTCTGCTGTACTAAAAAGAATCTGGAGGGGCAAGAGGAGAAGAAGCAAGGCATCTGTTAGAGGTGTTTGCATGAGAGTGAGGGAAAGGATAAGTTGAAAAGTTGAAGGCACTGCCTCTGAAAAGAGAGGGATGATGTTATTGGCCAAAGGAAAAACTTGTTTGGAGTCAGTTTTCTTCATACACTGTGGTACTCTGCAAACAGTAGGGGCTCAATAAATAACTTGTTCGTATAAAATACTGTACCTGTGCTGCTATAGAAAGCTAATCCACTGGACGCACTGAACTCCTCAATGAAGAACTTGGAAAGGGAAATATGCTCTTCAGTATTTAAGGACTTGTTACCATGTTTCCAGTACAGCATTAGATCCTCCTCATTATAGGCATCTAAAATAAGAAAACACCATTCCTGTAATTGCAACAACTCTATACATTACATGAGGTCTATAACTCTGTTCTGTTCATTTCCGTTTTCCAGTACCTGGTCCAATAATATGTATATTAGGTGCTAAAAATTCATAAACAGACTAATCACATCCACATCACAAAAAGAAAAAAAAAAATCTCCTAATCTTAGAACCTGATGTTTTGCCTAGAGTGGAAGCTTTCTTGTGCCCACATGATGTGTTAAAACTCTCCACAAAACTGTTCCCCTGTCTGTGTGTGTTTTTGTGAAATATTAATCCAAGTCTCAGAGTGATGCCGTAGTGTGCTTACTTTTCCAGGGCTGATGCCAAGCCTTTAGGTCTCTTAAATTCTGATCTATTTTGCATGAAATTATAAAATAAGTGTAGATTATAAAACGTTTTCTTCTAAAATTAAATAGAAAGTTTCTAATAGATATAGGAAGTACCCTCTATGCAGGAGACATCCCATGAGATTCTGGCATTTTAGTCATATTATGAAAAATAGCAGTCAGTTTTTAAGATGTTTTGTCAAAAATAGCTAATAAATCAACCTAATTGGCAGGAAGCCAGCTCAGATGCCTTTGATGGGATTTTGATTAGGTGGCCAATACCTAGAGGGTGGATTTCTGGGGAGCTCATGTACTTTGAATGGATGGTGACTCTTCTGAGAACATCAATTCCAGAATGTTCCAAATGTGGAAAGGTCTATTTCAGTCCTCATAGTAATGTTAGAAAAACATACCTTATTAAGAAACTGTTCCTTCACAACCATTGTGAGAACTGCAGAATATGTAATTAACAAAGTGCTTTCCCTGAATCATCTCATTTGAGAGACAAACTGCCACTGTCTTCAGTAAAAACAGAAAAGACAAAAAAACCTACAACTGTTTCAGAAAAAATATATCAAGATAAATGCTTGCTTAGAGCATGCTTATTTCCATGCAGTGTGTGATGGTATGCTCCAATGATGAGTACTAAGTGGAGTTTACATCAGGCAGTGAGACTTACAGCTTTCCAGTTCAAGAGAACAGTTTTGAGTATCAAGAGGAAACCTGCTGAAATCCATAAAGCACATGGCTGAAACCGTTATCCTGTAAAAGAGAATTGCAGATCATTTAAAAGAAAAAGAGAATTGCAGATCATTTAACCATATGGCCAAATCAGCATGGAACACTGAAGTTTCCTAATTGTTTGCCTGTTTTGTGTGGCTTTCAAGAATAATGTGAAACAGGCATTACTATCTTCTGTCCAAATAACATACAAGGGAGCAAACCCAAAAGGGCAGGAGATTTGCTTAAGACAAAGAATAATGAGTGAATCCCAGCTTTCATTATTGCCTCTGATCTCAACATGTCCTGATTGGCCCCTTCTGAATTTTCTGGCTCTGATGTGTTCAGAAAAACAAACTTCAAAGTGAGATTATTTGAAATAGATTTAAATATTTTTCTGCTTTTTGGAATTGGCAAATTTAAGTAGTCTCTAATAATAAAGGATTGGGATGGTGGAAATAAAAATCCATAGGTAAAGGCTTCCTTTACAAAACAAATTTAAATGAGGAAATTATCTTTCCAGTAGTGAGCAGAAAGCCTGGAGACTTATGTGCACAATGCATAATTCAAGTGCTGTTGAGTGAAAAGGCTTGCAAATTTTATATTCTCCTAGATTTTCCTGGCTTCAGGCAGAGGCTGCTGTACTATGATCTTGCCTCAAAGTAGAAACTTTGGTATCCACAGTAACGGATCAGAGATTTATAAAAGGCCCCTGAGCAAGTCTGCTAAAACAAAAGCAACAGATGCTCCTACCCATGGTGACTCTGAGTGAATTCGAATAGTGGAACCATTTTATTTTTGTGGTCTGAGTTCTACTGTTGATAATTGTGCACCTAAATGCCAGACCAGGGAAAAGAGTGGATGACTTTGTATAAACAAAGTATACTTATCCTGGTATATCCCTAGTATCCTAAAGCTGGAAGCAACCTCTAAAGTGTTTTCTTCAACTCCCTTCAAGGTACACGTGAAAAGATTAATGACCAAGGAGGTTAGGTGGATAGGTGATGTCAGAACAGTCTGCAACCAGGTAACCTGGTTGGACTGGCTCTGCAATTGACTGTAAGAGTTGTGCTAACAACAATTTTTGAGTCCTCCTGAGTTTGGGGATCTCCAAGACCACTTACAGGGTTAATGTTTCACTAGAAAGACAGGACTCAGCAAAGTTGTTATACTCACAGTTACCTTTAGTGTAATAAAAGAATTAAAACAAAACATGGAAACAGAGCACAGACCAGGGTTCAGAAGAAAACAGGAGCAAGATTCTGGCTGTCTTCTCCTTGTGACTTTATGTAGACAGTGTTTCATTCTGTCACAGTGATGTGTGACAACATTCTTGGAATGTTGAACCAGAGAAAATCACTCAGACTTCACAGTGTCCAAAATTTAAACTGAATTTTAACTGATTTAACTGATTATATGGTCATGCCAACAAGGCTGACCCTAGTCGCCAGCCCTTTTAGAGGTCAAACTGATACTACATGGGTCAAGGACCCCATGGCAAATCGTGTTGCGAGCACAGACACTCTGGCAATGGTCCATAGACTCCAGGTAAATAAAGACACTCTTATCAGACAGAATATTCCAAGGGAGTAAGAGGTTTCTTTGAAGGAATGGCAAAAGCCAAACCTATCTTTAGAATCTGCACTGTGAGTGGAATTCATTGAGTTCTTTATCAGTCTTTCCCTCATGAAAAAAAAATTAAAACTGTTGATTTTTCAGACATTTTTGTTCTGCCTTCAATGCATACAGATACTTGACTCTACTACTTATGAATTCTGTGCTATTCATGATTTTAAAGTGCTATTAATACAGCACTTTTCATTAATTGTATCTATAAAATAACTGACAGCCTTTATGAAATGATTGGCAACAGCTCCTTTGTTCAAAATATTTTTAATGAGCAAAAAGGATTCTATATTAGTTTTCTAATGCTGCTAAACTAAATTACTATAAACTTGGTGGCTAAAAATAACAGAAATTTATTTTCACAGTTCTGGAGGCCAAAAGTCAGCATCACTTGGCCAAAATTAAGTTGTCAGAAAGGCCCTGAATCCTTAGGAGATCTAGAGGGAAAATTCATTCATTATACAACTTGTTGCCCTTCTGTATACATCACATTTTGCTCTGCCTTTCCATTAAAGGGAATTGTATGATTGTATTTAAGTCCCCACTAGATATTCTAGGATAATTTCCCTATTTTAAGATCTTTAACGCAATCAAATCTGCAAGGATCCTTTTTGCTATATAGAGTAAACTTCACAGGTTCCAGGAATAAAAATAATAGATTTGTTTGAGGTGTCATTTTATCCAGTCTATTATAGAATTCTTTTCAGATTTCTAGGACATTAAAAAAATTTAATTGCTTAGAGTTATCAAACATTTTAAGAATATCTATTATAAGCCACTCAATGTACATAGAACTTGTTTGGCTATAAGAAAATATGGAACATTCAAGATGGAGAGTTGTTATAGCCTAGTGTTAGAAGAAATGTCTTAACAAAAAAGATAAGAATAAAAAGGCAATTAGTAAATTAGTACTAATTTGGATGATGATTATGCCTTCCCATGAAAAATGTAAGAAATAGTTAAGAAAATTATTTAACTAATGCAAGGTTCCAAAATTGTTTGGTGGAGGACAGGGATAGGGTGGAATTGGCAAGGAGAAATAGTAGTTTTCCCTAACTAAAAAATTGAATGTCAAACTTTTGAGGATCTCCAAAATTTAGCTCTACTCTGTTTTCTCAAACAACATTTGCCCAGAGTGGGAACAGTTAGAGTAGGAAACAATTCTTTAAAATCTATACGTTAGAACCTAGGGGAAATCACATATTCTGCTTGTGCTCTAACCTTCATCATCATTAAACTAAACCCAGTGTTAGGAGTTTGGTCTGAAATGAGACTTACTAGCTTTGGTATAGATGGCTAAAGTCCATGAGAGCCAAAGGCAATTAGAGTCTCTTCCTTACCTGAGACTGAAGAGAACATTTCCATCAGGGTGTACTCGTAGCATCATGTTCTCCATGGTTGTATCATGAATGAAGGATCTTTTAGAATGAACAAAGAAGATATCAGGCACCCAAATCTTTTTGATCAATCTGTGATCAAAGGTCATACTTTTGTTTGTCGTGCTAGGAAAGGAGAGCCTCTCATCTTTCCAGTAGTGCCGGAGGTAAAAAGTCATTGTAAAGTCCTAGGCAGAGAGAAGAAAAGACCAACCAAACTAGCAAAAATACAGGTTAGGGTCATTACTTCAATATCCTTAGTACCAGGACTGATTGCCATGGGAGTTAATGTCTTGTAGGTAAATGGATTGTATTGTATTTTCAGCATGAAGCTAATGAGCTTAAGTTTCCAGCTTTCCCTTCATATAGACTCCAGTGAATGTTGAGAGTTTCTGGTGGGTACAGAGTATACTAATCTGGGAATGAAGACTATGAATGGAAACATTTCTATGTAAGCATCAGGGTAAATTGCCTGAAGAGATCTCGGAAGAAAATGACGTGAAATTCCAGTATGTTATTGTACATTATTTAATTGTGATTTCTTTTTTATTCTAAATAAATATTCACTTTTAATATTGTTTTTGTATTTATAACTTTGCCTCCCAAATTGAATATACTACAGTCCCACAGAAACATGAATACAACATTTATTACATCTATTAAATAGCAAGCAAGTTGTCAGAGGTCCTGAGACAGAAACAGTGATCTTGGTTAGCTTGAGAGACAGAATAAAAGAATCACTGGTGAAGCTTGTTGAAATGGTACACTTCCCAGAAACCAGTTCTCAGAGAGTCAAGTGTGTCTCACAGATTTGAATTGTTAATGTACTTCCCAGTTGTAAGGATATAAGGATGAGAGTGGAAAAAACCTGTATTTACATTATATTACCAAGAATAGAAAAGAGGCAACAATTTGAGTTTTGTTTGGCTTTCAGATGTTATAGTTAAGGTTTAGTTTGTTTATAGAAACTCTTGTAGCTTCATCCAAATTACTGAATACAGACAATTACATTGTGTTTTATTTTTCACATCTGTTTACTTCTTATTATCTTTTACTTCTTAGCATATATTCAATTTTTCTTGAAATAACATATATATAATAGAACTTTGGTATTTATTTATACAAAAGATATGTCTCAGTAAGCTACAAATAGGTCATCAATTAGTTGTGAGCTAGTTTGTTTTTCCTAGGTTTGGAATAGAAGTACATTGTATTATTGTTCTGGATTAGTCCAGGAGCATTAGCTGTGTGTAATTTTGGGATAGAGAGAAGACAAATAGAATGATTCATTCATTAGTGTAGCACTACTCTACAGGGAATTGTGTGGGTTACTGCATGGATTGCCTTAATAAGCATTATTTACAATGGAATGATCAGTCTGATCTGTAGGTCACTGGGCAAACACTGAGCTTATGAAATCAAATAGCAGACATTGGTGTATGCCTGTGATACATCAATGTCACCACTAGTTGACACTATCACGAGGACTAGATTGAATAGCAGACTGTGTACAGAGCAAGACAAAACTTAAAGGAATTGAAAGTAAATTCGGGGTGGGACAGGAAAGGATGGGGAGATGATACATGGGAGAAACAAATGCACAAAAAAGGTAGCCCTGTGGGTGGAGTGGGGTGGGGTGGAATGGAGTGGGATGGTAGTCACTGATAATTAGAAAGCATTTTCAACTTGGCTATGGTAAACCCAGTACAGTTTTATCTGATACTGAGTAGCAAAGTTAACTTTATTCAAGGGAGAAAGATACTGTCCAGTTTTGGGGGATGCAGAATAGAGATGATGAGAATTTGGGATGCAGACTGGGCCATTCAGAGCTATTTTGGCAAGAGAGGTGAAATGACTGCTTTTAGGGCACAACAGGCTCAAAGCACACTAGTAAGCATTGCCTTTGGGTCAGAAAGGGTCAAAACTTTCTAATCAGGCCTTGGTATTATTCCCTTTGGGAGAGCAGTAGAAAAATGAAAGAAGTTTAAGGCTTACATGAGCTAAAACAAATATTAAAGTAGAGAATGGTAAGGACTAGAAAGACCATTAGCTGAAGAGTTTACAGGATAAAACAAGGAGTAATGGGCCATAGAAGATTTTGTTTAGGCCCTTCTGGAATTTCTATTTGTCCTGAATTTTTATTCAGTTAGTTATTTGGATGAATCACCAAAAACAATGATATCAATATAGTAAACAGATAAAAATATTAGTTGATCCTACAAATTTATAATTTTTATCCTCCTTAAGAAATCCCTGCTTTCTTGCTTATACTTTTATCTTTACTTATGGTATTTGTGTATTATAAAAATCACATGCAGAATCTAAATTTCAAAAATCAACTCTATGAAAATAAGCATATGTTACAGTTTATCTATCAGTTTTATTTCAGAAAGTATCTAAAAGTAATTTTGAAAATTTCATGAGCACATACATGTAAAATATTCTAGGAAAAGGAATGAAGTGTAAGAATTAATGTACATAAAATGTCTATTGAATGAGTAGATTGAATAAATAACACATTAAATCTTTACAGTGGAAATGGAATTTAAAAAAAAAGTAGTTTAGCTTTTCCCTATTCATGAATGAAGTATTCCCTCTATACTACAAGTACTACAAGATTTCACTTATATGTGGAATTTGAAAAACTTATCTCTAAAGTTGAGAATAAAATGCTGGTTACTGGAAGCCAGAAAGAATAGGGAGAATGGGAAAAGGTTGACCAGAGGATACACAGTTACAGTAGGAATAAGAAGTTCTGGAATGGCATTGCATAGTAGCATGATATAGATGACATTAATGTAATGTACACCTCAAAAACCTATAAGAGAGGAATTTGAATATTTTCACCAAAAGAAGTATGTAAAAATGTAGTACTCTGATTTGAATATTCTGATTTGAATGTTTGAGATATACATGCATTGAAACACCACATGGTACCTCATAAATATGTACAATACATATATATTAATTAAAAATTAAAACACCCCAAGCAAAAAATATCCAAGTTGTCTTATTTAAAGTGGAAAAGGAAGGCCAAGAAGTATCTAGCTAAGGGATGGAATCTCAAATTGCTCCAAGGACTAGACAGTAACTTCATTGAAAGGCAAGACTAAATCTAGAGAACACCAAGACTTGGGTTCCAAAACAAGAAAGAGAATATAGGTTTCATGTAAAGGCATTCAAAATTAAATTGTTTAATACTTTGGGTTGAGGAAGAAAGAACAAACTGGAATGTATACTGTAATCCAAGGCATATTCTTAAATTACATCTTACTTGGTGCTGGGGTACATGTTACAGCCCTTTCCTTTAACACTTGAATACAGTGGAAATAAAAGAAATTCATGTAAAGAGGATAACAGAAGGGGCAGAAGAATTGAGGAGAAGAATATGAGAGGGAAAGAGGGTCTCAGATACAAGGAACAATAGCAATTGGGTAAGAACAAGGAAACAGACAATGGAAATTTGAAGCTAGAAAATACTCTTTATTTGACAGAGAAAAACACCCAATAGCTGCTGAGATTACATTAACAAATTAACAGAAGATAAAACGAAATATATGTGAAAAGAAGTATTTGAGTACTTACGCATAGATGTTAGCCACAGTATTAACTATTCTTACAGTGAAATCCTGAGAAGCCCTGTGTCTTATTTTTTTATTTTAATTTACTTTTTATTTTTTATTTTTTTTTTTTGGTGGAACTGGGGTTTGAACTCAGGGATTCATGCTTACAAAGCAGGCACTCTATTGCTTCAGCCCTACCTCCAGTCCCCCTGCATCTTATTTAAATAAAAAATGACTTCTGTAACTATGCAGTTATGGAAGGTAGTTCTAAATTGATAATAGGGAAAATAAAATGGACAACTTATGAAAGAGGTCATGACAACATAAAAATGGCTAAAATGATAAAATCAGGTAAAGGGAAGGAAAGAAGACAAAAGAAGCAAGACATGCAAAATGGCATAGGAGACAGGAAAAGGCTAAAAGGGAGGTTGACTGTAATAAGTGATCACTTTCAAGTTTTATGGACATGGTTGGTGAACAACGCTCCATGAAAACATAGATGTTTCATCATAAGATAAAATAATGTAAATCTCTTATATTTCTAAAAAATGTAAGGGCAATAGATAGCTTGTTCTTAATTAAATTTTTAGTCCCATAGATTGTAAAAATACTTGTCCTGTGTTACTGATAATTTGTGGATGAGCAAAATTAATATAGAAGTAGTTTTTGAAGCTTAGTTCAATGGTCCATCATTTGGTGGTTCATATTTCATGGTTGTGATTGCATATTGCACATGCATTACGATTGTCTTTGTACAGTTGTTCCCAGTTTATAGTTAATATATATTGATGTTCTACAGCATTACACCTCTGAAAAAAGCATCAGAAGAAGAGGACAGCAGGACTGGTTGTTTAAATGTCATGAAATAGTGCAGTGTTTTCTAAATAGGTCTGTATTAAGTGAATGGAAACTAATTTATCCCAGGTATTTTTTGTTTGTTTGTTTGGACAATCTTTCATCTAATTTAATCATTATTTAATTAATTAAAAAACTCTCAAAAAAGGAGGAAAATAGGAAGGGAATGAGTATTGTAATAAGAGGCAGACAGAAGTGAATGCGAGAGGGAAAAGTAATCACAACTCTATTATTAAGCAAGATAGGAAGGGTTAATAACATATATAACAAGTGATTATTAAAATACTAATTATTTCACCACTACTGAATCTATCCTTTCGGAAAAAGACAAATATCCCATGAAGAGACTTACCATACCAACCTCTGAAATGCTGTCGATGCTTTCAACCTGGATGTCTATGCCTACTGGAACTGGGGACCCTTCAGAAAGAGGGACAGATAATATGCTGAGAAATGCATGATAATCACTTGGGCACCTTCTAAAACAGAGAAAGACCATTGTCCATGGATTGCAAGTGCATTCTATTTTAAATTTTCTTAAATAAAAAAATCTGTCCATTGTCTATTGAGTCAGTTATTATATATCCAATATAATCATAAAGACAGAACCACAAGTGTAAGTAAATGCTATTTCAATAAATCATTGGCCTGAGAATACCTCAATATTTTCTTTACAGTATAAAATTGGTGTCTCCAGTTTTAGTTATTATTTTAGTATTTTGGGGGTAGTAGGGATTTAAAAAGGAAGAATGCATTGAAAACATATCTAAGAATGTATGTAAGGGGACCAGGAACTAGAGAAAAGATTAGTTCGAGAAGAATTAACCTAGAAGGTAACACACATGCACAGGAAATCAATGTGAGTCAATGCCCTGTATAGCTATCCTTATCTCAACCAGCAAAACCCCTTGTTCCTTCCTATTATTGCTTATACTCTCTCTTCAACAAAATTAGAGATAAGGGCAGAATAGTTTCTGCCTGGTAGCGATGGGCTAAGGGGGTAAGGGGGGAGTAAGGGAGGGGGCGGGGGAAAGGAGGAGAAATGACCCAAACATTGTATGCACATATGATTATAATAAAAAAAGAAAAAAAAAGAATATATGTAGAATTATGTATCTTATATAGTAATGGTCATGTCTTATATTCAGGGGTATCATATAGTCTTTGACTCTAGGCAATGTGAAAACCTCCTCTCTCCTGCCCAAAATATCATTTGTGCAGTTGGACAGACTAGAGACACACAGATGATTATGCAGTGTTACACATGGGAACCACAGACTCGGAAGTGTCCCTTTGCAAATCATCAACAACCATAAGCTGCAGTTTGGAAGAAACAAGCATTCTCAGAAGGGCATTTGATGAACATATAGTGAAAAGTAGAGTGGAGAAATTCAGACAGAGAACTGCAGACTTGTTTGCAGTTGTGTGTCTCAGAGTCAGGTTCATGGGCCCAGAAAGCCTAATGAATAACATGAGAGACTCCAAACTAGACTGAGATTTTGAAATTTCCTAGTTCCACATAAAAGGATTTCACACACTTCCTGTGTGTTAATAATGTCATAATTTAGTTTTGTATATGAAATTTAATGCATATATGTGTTAATATAATTTATATATTTATACATGTATACCTTGTATGTTTTCTTTCCAGAATGAGTCATTCTCAACTAAACCTTTTTGGTGTTGATAGGCTTGAGTTAAAAAACACTTTCAACTATTGATAAAAAATATAAATCCTGTGTAGATGAATCCCAATAGTGCATACTCCAAGGGAATGAAAGATATGAAAAGTTTTGGAGGGAAGGAAGAATTTCCTGGATAAAATTCTAGCATTAGACTCACACAGACTAGAATTCATCACTACCATGTGAAGCAGGGTAAGTAATACCTCTTGCTCAGTCAAGATCCTGGAATTTAGAAGAGTTAGGCCTGAGGAAGCTTTCTTACTTGGCTAATTAATGCCTGGATGTGCTACATGTGATGTATGTGTTCACATAACTCATCAGCCTTTAAATGCATAACACAGTACAAAACAAACTATGGTCTGACATTTTCTGTCACTTCTCTATTAATTAGCTGATGTTACCCTTATCAATATCAGATTCCCCTTTTAAAATTAGTGCTTATTAATTGTACAAAGGGATTTCATTGTGATATTTCCATACATGCATACAACGTGCTTTGATCAAATTTATCTACTCTATTAATTTCTTAACCCCCTTTTTAAATAGGTTTCATTATTCTACTTTCATATATGCGTATAAAGAACTTAGACATATTCACCCCTCCTTTTTTTGTTCTGTAAGTCCATACTCTTAACATCATTCCTTACTTAGAAGAGTTTTAGTTAGCCAGGCCCTTGGCCTGTCACTAAAATATGTTCCTATCTTCTACCTTTAGGAATACCTTACTACCTTACTTGCATCTTAACCACTACCTTCTCTGTGGCATATTGGATCGATTACCTCCTATGACACTTATAATAATTCTATAAATAACATTGTTCACTGATAGTTATGATGAAGCATCAACTTGGGAAAAGCTCAATATTATTCCTTCATAGGGTCAGCTTTGTTGTTTTGCTTTTGCCTTTTTTCTTGAATTAGTAGAGCTGTCAAAATAAAATTCATGAAAATATTTTGTCTACCTGGTACTTCATGATAAATAATTCTTCCCATTAATTCTAATACTCCAAGGGAATCAAGGGTTTGGAAAGGTTTTGGAGGGAGGGAATTATGTCCTGGATAAAGTTCTAGCATTAGAGTCACATAGACTGGATTTGACTTAGCTTCATCACTACTATGTGATGCAGGATAAGTAACATCTCTATGTTTGCTTTTCTCATCTATAAAATTTGAGAAGTGATACTCACCTTAGAGAACCATATGGAGACTAGAAATAATACAGCTACTGGACTTAATTGATGCTTAACACATGACACAAAATAAGTATTATTACCACTGTAATTAAGCAAAAATGCAAACCTGCCTCTTAGGAATTCAGGCCACTATTCTTAATCTGACATTTGATCATATAGATACATGATCAGCCTACTTTTCACAAAAAAAAGGGAAGAAAGAAGGAAAGAAAGAAAGAAAAAGCTACAAAGAGTCTCATCACTTATTTTCTAACAAACCAGGGAAGAGCTTGGATTTGGGATCTTGTGACTTGTAAGTACACTTGCCCATCTGTATGAATATGTTCCATATCTTTGGATTCAATTTACCCAAGATAAAAAATAATCAAAATTTGGGTATGTATTGAACATGTACAGATTTTTTTGTCCTTATTCCTTAACACACTGTAACAACTAGTTACATAATATTTACATTGTATTAAGTATTATAAGTAATGCAGAAATGATTCAAAATATATGGGATAACATTTGTAGGTTATATGCGAATACTATGCCACTTTATATGAGGAACTTGAGCCTCTGCAAGTTTTGATATCTGTAGGGGTGGCCTCCATGGATATAGAGAGACAACTGTATTTCCTTATTGGTGGTAACTATTTTCTGCAAGCCTGGAGACAATCTTATATAGCTACCCTTCAAGGACATATTCATGCCACTGCTGAGCAAGCATTCGAACCTCGAGTTGTTTGAAGGCTGGTTTGATGATGGAGTTATGACATGTCTTGTCTATTACAAATGAATTCTTGAAATATCTTAGATTTTTCTTTCTTCCCTCCAGGTTTATGCTGTTCTTGTGGGGATGAGTTCTTTGGATTCTAAGGACAATGCATGCCCTTGGGCACTGTTCGTCCTCATTTTTATCTCCTTTGAGCTCATGTCCAAATGTACCTCACTCCTAGGTCCGTGTTCTGGTGTTCTTACGGATAGTGTGGAGGGTGAGGGGAATGTGAAATCAAGATGTACAATCATAGAATTTTGGATCTACATGAAAGCTCCAAAGATAATTCTTGTGACAGATAAGGAGGTAAGTCAGATGTTTTAGATGTGTTAAATCATGAAATTTGTAGCTGTATCAGCCTGAGTTAGAGCCAAACATCTATAAATCTCTTAACTCTTCATAACTCAGTTTGCTGTAAAATGAGGGGAATAAACGTATGGAACCTTCCTTTTAGGGTTTCTGTGGGACTACATGAAGGAATGAATGTCAAATCATGACTACAGTCCCATTTAATTGTCGTAACAACCAACTTTTCACTTTCCATTTGATCAATAATAAATATAACAGAATACAAAATTTCCTAAATAATTTTACTGATTCTTTATGTAAAGTTTTTAAATATAATAAAATTTAAGAATACATTAACCTTTCTGATTGTGGTATAAATTTCCTGGGATTACTAGTTAGGGAGTGGCCTGCACAGTTAAAAGCCTTTTATATACATAAAGATCTAGCATCAATCTGTTTTATACGCAGGCTGGAATAATGAGGGTTAAATAGAAGTCATACATCTTATTTGCATAGTGCATTTAAAACACATTATATAATGAAAAATCTCATGTCATCATTACAGCTACTTTGTTAGCTAGGTAAAAAACTAGGTGGAAAACATTTTAACTCCACCTGAGACATGGGGGAGCTTATTCTCAGATAAGACTATATAACACTTGCCTAAAACCCAAAGCTAGTTAATGGTAAGAATATAACCAGGTCCTCTGACCCTTCTCTTGTTTGACAAGCAGACTTATATGAGCAACTTTAGCTTTTGACTCAACTCAGTATCTACTATCTAGATGCTAAATTGATTTCACTTTGAAGAAGCAAAGAAATTATTATCTATAAGACTAAAACAAAAAACCTTTAGTTATGGGAGATGTAATGGGTAGGGAAAACATAAATAAAGAAAATGAGCTGCAATTTATAACCCAAGTTAAACAAAAAGCTGCCCTGAATTTATATCTTCCTGTTTCCACATAATGAGCCAATTAATCTTCTAATGCTTTATAAAAGTAAAAAACACTGCAGTAGCAGCTGGTTTTAATGTTAAAGCTAATTAGGAAAACACATTAAGGCAAGAGAAGTGCTGAAGTTACATTTAGCTCAAGAGGAAAGAAGTATGTTTATGAGCTTATATAATGGACAAGTATGAAGAAAGGGAATATAAATTAAAGCTTGTCTTTTATACCCTGCAGTGTGATTTCCCAAAGGAAGGCAGCCATGAGAGAGCAGATAAGTTGACCACTATTTAAGAATCTGTTATGATCAAATCAGGTGAGAAAAGGTTAAGGACTGTAGTTCACAGCATCACCAGATGGACACTTCTTTCTGAGTTTATGATTTTTCTGCCTGAACTGACTGAACACATAGCCATTTGAGCACTATCTAGCCACAGCCTGTGATTGTCAGAAAAATTTCATAATTGTGAGATGATTTGCCACCTGTCAATAAGTAGCACATTTTAATTGCATTTTTAATAACCCCACAAAGTAGCCTCGGGAAAAAAATTAAAAATGCATTATCACTTAAAGAATCCTAACACATATCTCTAACAGACAAAGCAAAGGGGGAAATTTAGGGTCAATTTTATGTTTTTCTAGGGTATGGGGATGGAACAGTAGGTGGAGAATGAAGGCATAAATGTGTTGAGATTAAAAGGAGGGCAGGTGCTTAGTAATTTGGAACAGGGCTCTCAATTGTCATTGTCTGCAAATCACATGGGGATCATGTTGCAATGCTGATTTCTAGTCATATCCCTGAGCTTCAGCACTGATACTAACTCTCAGCTTATTCTGCTTCTGGTCCTAGGACCACTATGAGTGATAAGGTGTCTCTGGGTTGTTTGCTTCAAGATTCACATTCAGGGACAGTCATTTTTCTCTCACTCTTTGTGGTTTTCAATCCCTGTAAAAACCCTTCCTCTATGATAGAAAGCAATTTAGTCGAGGAACCTAACCTGATAGAAATTAAGGCAGCTGTTTGCACTGGTGTTGAAAAGAATAAAATTTGAGATTCTAACTGCTGATCCTGAGTTGCCAGTTTCAAGCCATTCCTGTATGACTGGTTCCCCCTTGTGGCTGAAAAGACCCATGCCAGGCAAGTTTAACCTAAAGACTGCCTGCCATTAAACAGTAACAGAGATAGGATTTTAGAAAATGTTTGTTTTTTTTAATAGAATCATAGACATTAAGGTACATAGTAGTTGTAGAGTATATTATTCAAACTTTGGGAAAATTTTGCTGTGTAAGGAACAGTTTTTTGATATTGATTGTCAAGGGATTAACCATCTTTGGGACAATTGAGGTAAGGATGATACATCTAAAATACTGAGGTAGAGAAAAATCAAAATAGAGTTCAGAAGGAAAAATGAATTAGTTCTCCGAGGCATCTACATGCCTGATATACTCCTGTTGGTCAAAATCATGTCTGACAAAAGTATCAAGTTTTTCCACTCTATCCTGAGTAGTTGAGTTATTAGTTATTCACCAACAAACTGCCTGTTCTTCTGATGGAGGTTCTCACCTCTCACCCCCATCCACACTTTACTCATTTTTGTGCTTTCAGGATTCTGAAAAGTTGCCAGTTCAGGTGTCGTGGGAGACATCGATTCAATGAAGAAAGTATCAGCTGGATTCGTCAGTTTAACAGGTCAATTTCACTGTACCATGCATATTGCTGGAAAACTTGCTACACAAAGTGATGCAACTATGTTGAAGAATCCAAAGGGAAGAAGACTTTGATCCAAGCATGCACCTCTGCTGTAGCCTTCCTGCACCTCCTTATTTAACATTGAATCTTGGTTCTACCACTGACTACATTCATGGTCTTGGGCAAATCTAACCTCTCAAAGCCTCAGTTTCCACACTGGAATATTAATGTTCACAATAGTACATATTTCATAGGGTCACTGGGAAGGTGGAACAATGTTGTGCATTAAGAAGATTATTATAGTGCCTAAGTGATAAAAGAAAAACACCCAGCTCTGCTGAGTTGACATACCATTGGCATATAGAATATAACTTACTATAGTTCTCCCATGACTACCAGGCAATACAGATCATAAGAATATTCAATAATATTGTATAACTAACCTCATATAATCCAATTTACAGTTTGTAGTTGAAATAATAAGTTGCTACATAAGCAGGACATATCTATTCATATTTAACACATTTACAACAGTGTCACTATAATACGAATTTGGGGGTCAATTTAAAATGAATAAACTTTCCAGCTGTTGTCACTCAATAGAAGATAAGTAAGTTTTGGTAGTACTGACATTTGAACTCAGGGCTTTGTGCTTGCTAGACAAGTGTTCTCCCATGTGAACCACATCCCAGTCCTTTTTGTTATAGTTCGTTTTTTAGATGGGATCTCATGCTTTTTGTCCAGGCCACCCTCAGCCATCTTTCCAACTCTGTCTCCCACATAGCTGGGATTACAATCATGTACCACTTCCCTTGGACAAAGATTTTTTAAAAAACTGTTGGTCTTGTGTTTTGGTCTTAATTGCTTCAAATATTCAACTTCATTTTGACAGAAAAATAGGTTTGAACTTGAATTATGGAAAGAGAATACTCACCTCCAAATCCAGGTCTCATTGCAAAATCATGGTCTTCTATATGGAGTAGTTGCTTGTGTTTCTGGGGCCACATTTTGGTGCTGTCATCTTTGTTCATCCTAGTTTCTTGTTTGCTGTCCCCCACCAAGGGAAAAAGAATGATCTTGAGATACATGTACTTCTGGTTATTTTTATTTATGTTAGCTATCTGTGCTTAACATAGCAATTTCTGAAATAAACACATAAAATCTCATTTTCTTAGTTGCTATTAAGACAAAGATCCACCAACATTTGTTCTTTGTTATATACGGGTGAAGCAAATTTGAATGAAAACAGTATTGATTTAATATACAAACATGCTGTGTTTCTCAGAATATGGTTTTAGACTTGGAACCTGCCAACTATCCAGGTGATGGTGATCAAAATTCAGATTCATGGACGCCAGTCCCACAGCAAGTAAATCAGCCCCCAAGGAACCAGAGCTTGAGAATGTGAGTTATAACAAGCAATGATTTTTGGAATCATTGAGGTTGAACAGTTTCTGCCCTAAAACAGTGAAAAAATAAACATATTGTAAAATTGTAAACTGATGAAAATTGTGTTTTATAAAGATGAAATAAGCAGAAAATATGAGAGCAGGATGAGATTGGAGGCAGAATGCCTGGCAGAGGTTCTAGAACCTAAGAGGTGGCAACATAGTAGGTGAAGCTCATTTTTGCTGTATTTCTCCAGGGCAAAGGGAAAATGGGGAGTGCCTCTCTATAAGTGTCCTGATGTGGGGAACTCCTGCCTCCCTCTATGTCTGTGAACGTGGTCATGCTGTGGCTGACTCATTTTCTGCCCCAAGACACCTGTTTTCCAGTGATATTGCAGGTATGGAAGAAGGAGGTCACTCCTTTATGAGTGACTTGTCTTCCCTTACTAGAAATCCTAGTATATCCTGTCCCTAGAAAAATGTCTCTGTTGTAATCACCATCATTGTGGTCAGCAGCAGCAGTAACACAGAAAACCCTGATGGATCTAACTAGATGAATTCTTGCCACCCTGGGCACCTAATATGCTTTTTTGCATTGATGTCTTTTCTAGAAAGCCAATGTGAATTTTAGCAAAGGAATTGTGGAGGCAATTTCTTGACTTAATAAAATGACTTTGATGGAAAGAATTTCAAATCCTGTAGTAGCCAACGAAAGAGGTATGTCCAGATTTATGGGCATTGGAGATCAGCCAGTGTGGTCTTTGAATAGAGAAGTTTATGGTGGAAACCTCAGAATTTAGAGATGTATTTATGCTAGTGATAGAAAAGAAGTTGGAGAAGAAATCCCTTTTCAGTAGAAGGTAATGAATTTGATTTTAAACATTAAGCCATTATAGCCTATGAATTATTGAATGCATAGGCCTATTTATTCCAAGGAGCTAGAAAAACACTTCTAAGGAGAGAGAATGAACTATTTATTTAAAAATAATAGCAGCTAGCTTTTATTAAGTACCTACTATGTTTGAGACACCATGACAGATGTTTTGTAAATGTAATCTTCTTTGGGATGCATCCAAATTATCTGGTTTCCTGGGCCTCATGCCCAGAGTTTCTCATTCGATAGGTTTGGAGCACAAAAAATTTGCATTTACAACAATTTTTCAGGAGAACCACTGCCATAGAAAATAATAGACATTTAATAAAAGCTAGCTACTTGCTATTTTTTAAAAAGGAAAATGGAAATGTAGCTTTGGGATCTCATGAAAATTACTGCTTTGAAATAATATTTTTTGATACAGCTAAATGGCAGTCACTAATGTGTCTTTTCACAAGCATACCTCTCTTTGAGACTGGAAAGGATAGATTTTAATTAAGAGTCCCAAGAACCCTGAATACAAAGCCTGCTGTGTAGTCTCCCTCAGCAGCATTTATTTTGTTCTTACTTGAGGACTCTTCTGAGCCATGATGAGAGGTTCCATATTTATCTACTTCTGCCTTTCTTATATCTCATCAATTTTGCAAAAAAGGATTTGTTTCTTGTTTACTTTCTGAAAGAATTTTGGAAATCTAACTACTCCCTCATACATATTTTAAGAAATACCACAAATTTTTCATCACAAATTTTAAAATTACTTAAATATTGCTGACTTATAAAAAAACTATTCCTCTTTTAAATGTATCCAATGAATAAAAACATCCATATAAATTTTAAAAATTTATGAAAAAGTTCTTTAAAATACCAGAAAATTTATAATTTCTTGTTTCTTTGAACCAGTATTTCCATTTTGTTTCCTCTGTAGAATTTTGGCACTTTATCATACATCTTTGCAAGAAAAAAATGTGTGTACATTGAAATTAACTTTTACTATTTTCTATAACCATTATGAATGGGACAAAACAGGGCTCATATAAATGTTTATTCCTTTTAAAATTCAAAATAAAATATAAGTGGAAATGAATTTGTTTAAATCATGGTATTATATTTTCATTATTTTATATATTAAGCAATACTATTCACTGCTAGAATGAAACTGGGTTTAGCATAAATTTTATTTTTATTTTTTATTTTTATAGATGAAAATGTCCAAAAACTTTGATCATATTTGTATACATGGAATGTGGAAAATTTCAGTTTTAAAAATGAAACAATTACTTAAAATATTAGTATTTTTAAAAATTCTCACTGCATAATCAATTATCAATAATCACTTTTAATGATTTATAACAATTAATTAGGTCATGCTTCATTTCATTTTGTTGAAAGCAAAAAATAAGAAATCAGACATTTTGAGGAAGAATGTGTTACTTAGAGTCATCCATTACCTCAACAACAATATTCACAATTGCTTCTTTGAATCCTGTAAGATATTACACAGAAGGGCAACACACATAATAAGATTCACAAGATAGTGGAGTATGCCTTTATTTTGCCAAGTGGGACAGGGCAGTCATTAAAGGGAGGTGACAAAGGAGACTGTAGGCAAGTTTTAATGTGGAGGATCAATTTCAACAAAGAGTTCATAAAGAAGTTAATGATCCAGCAATAGATTGTTTAAAAACTACCCATGTCTATCTGCCCCTTAGACAGCTTGCATACCCCATTGAGACACATTATACCTCAGGAATACAGGTGCTTGATTTGAGGAAAGACACTGACTTGTTAAAATAACTGTTAATACAATTAAATTGAAATGAAATGGACAAAGGAGAGAGAAGCAAATAGGTTTACTAAAGGAGTTACAATGTGATGGAGCATCACCTTTAGCTCAGAGCTTTCCATGTATGCATCATTTTAAAGCACGTTGGGGTTTCTGCTCTCCCCTTTTTCTAGAAATAATTTAATTTTGATTGTTGCTGTGGGAACAACACAGTCTAATTGTCTAAGATGAAGATCTTCAAGATGTCTGAACCTCAATGAGATCAAGCTAAAGAATCTCAGTTCACTGGAGAGCTATACACCAGCATTCTTAAACTTTGCCTTTGCCCATGAAACAATATGAATATTGTTTGAGACACTATTGTGGAAGTCTTGGCAACAGTTATTATTTTCTCATTTGATTTATGATTTTATTTCCTAGATTAAACAAGAAACTATATTTCAATGCTCCTCCTTTTTCTCAGTTTCACAGACTCTACTATAATTTTGTAACTAAGACAGTGGGAGTCTGAGTGGAACAGAATAGAAGACCGAGATATGAATTCACATAGCTATACTCACCTAACTTTTGACAAAGATGTCAAAAGCATATGATGGAGAAAAGACAGCCTCTTCAACAAATGTTACTGAGAAAAGTGGTTATCTGCCTACAGAAAACTGAATCTAGATCCATGCCTGCCACCATGTACTAGTATTAACTCAAAGTGGATTAGGACTTTAATATCAGACCTGAAACCTTGAAGTAAGTACAAGAAAGAGCAGGGAATACACTGGGAGCGATAAGAATAGGCAAGGACTTCCTCAGTAGAACTCAGGCTGCCCAGCATCTAAGAGAAAGGATGGACAAATGGGACTACATGAAATTAAAAAGCTTCTGCACAACAAAAGAAATGGTTTCTAAACTGAAGAGACCACCTACAGAATGGGAGAAAATCTTTTCTAGCTATGTATCACACAGGGACTGATAACCAGAATATACAGGGAGCTCAAAAAACTAAACTCCCTACCCCCAAAATCAATGAACCAATAAAGAAGTGGGCAACTGAACTAAACAGAACTTTGCAAAAGAAGTCCAAATGTTGAAAAGGCACATGAAAAAATGCTCACCATCCCTGGCCACAAAGGAAATGCAAATCAAAAGCACACTAAGATTCCACCTCACTCCTAGTAGAATTGCTACCATCAAGAACACCACCAACAACAAATGTTGGTGAGGATGCAAGGAAAAAGGAAACCTCACACACTGCTGGTAGGAATGAAAGCTAGTACAACTACTATGGAAAACAATATGGAGGCATCTTAAAAACTAAAATAGATCTGCCATATGATCTAGCAATACCACTTCTAGGGATATACCTAAAGGAATGTGATTCAGGTTATTACAAAGACACATGCACATCCATGTTTATTGCAGCACAATTCACAATAGCCAAGCTGTGGAAACAGCCAAGATGCTCCACTACCAATAAATGGATTAAGAAAATGTGGTATTTATATACAATGGAATTTTATTCAGTCATAACGAAGTATGAAATTATATCGTTTGTAGGAAAATGGATGGAACTGGAGAACATCATCTTAAGCAAAGTTATCCAGGCTCAAAAGGCCAAAAATCGCATGTTCTCCCTCATGAGGATTATAGACCTAAAACATATGCAGTAATATTATTGGACACAGTTCACACACTAAGGGGAGAGTGCACATGGGAAGGATTGGGAAAGGGAAGGAAAACAAAAACTTGAATATGGTTGATGTGATGTGCTTACTGTGTAGAAGCAAATATGGCAATCTTAAACTGGCTGGGGCCTTATGGGAAGGAGACTGGGAAGTAGGGAAGAGGTCTGGTAGAGATGAACCAATTTGGTTGTAATACACATATGCATGTAAACAACACAAGGAATCTCCCTGTATAGCTATCTTCATCTCAAACCAGCAAAATTTCTATGTTTTTCTTTTTATCTTATATATTTTTTCTTCAACAAAATTGGAGAACAAGAAGGTGGAACAGGTTCTGCCCAGAGGTGGCTGGGTGGGGGGAAAAAGTGGAGAGGTGGTCCAAATAATGCATACACATGTAAGTAATTGTAAAAGCAATAAAATAAAATTGAATAATTTACTAAAGAAAATCTCTCAATTTACCAGATCTGGGAATGGAAAACAGTACATCACTGCTGATCCTATAGACATGGAAACAAGAAGATTTTATGAACAATTTCATGTTAGTGAGCTACATTACTTAGACTACATTAATAAAGTCTTTGGGAAAAAAACATGTAAGTCACTGTAATTGATGAAAATTAAAAAGAATTCTCTGTATTTTTACATGAAAGAAAAACTTGAATCAAAAATTTAAATCCTCTCACAAAGAGTAATTCCAGCACAGATGATAACACTGATGCATATAGCAAATGTTTAAGGAGGAAATAATTGCAGCACTATGTAAATACCTCTAGAAAATACATTTTTAAAGTTCCCTATTTATCCTAAACAAGAATATTATTAATGGCAAAGCTCCATAAAGAAAAATAAGAAAGTGAAATATTAATCCACAACTCACACATATAGGCAAGGAACAAGATACTAAGCAACATTTTTGCCCACCAAATAAAGTGAATATTCAAATAGAAGAGAGAATGACAGTTTAATAAAGAAAATATGTTAAATATTAAAAAAAAGAAAGTGGGGTTCTGGGGGTAGGAAAGGAGAGATTTTAAATAGTCTCAAGATTCTAATAGGGTCTTCCAGGAGGTCACACCAAGGCAAAGAATGAAAAGTACTAGAACTGGTTGAGGGAAAGCAAACACACCTAACTCATTCTGATGAATTGGATTTTATAAGTGGAATGAAATTGAGTCATGAGTACTCAGTTGACTACTTTAGAAAACTGCTCTCCCAAGAGCTTGGAGGTCTATATATTTGATTAGTAGACTAGGATCAGAACTTGAAAACAACTAAGCCTGACGTGAATAGACTATTTACCTGAGGAAGGATAAAATTAACAAGTTTATTTAAAAACATTTAATTGAGAGCGTTAACAGTGAGATGCCATTTAAAGCTACAACTATCATTTTGTACCTGTTAAATGAGCAAAACAAATGTAATGATTTTAGCATCCTACCCTGATATGGATATGATGAAATGCTTTTTAGGTGGGAGAATAAATATGGGCAACCCCCTTAGAAATTTATCTCAAGAACCATAAAGATATTTTATATGCTTTGATTTAGTAATTTAATCCTAGAAAATTGTAATTTTTATTGGTAAAGGAAAAATACATGCATGAAAATATTATTGCTGTTATTTATAACAGTATAAAGTTGAAAATAAATGTTCTATATCAAAAGGAATAATTCTCATTCTCCAATTCAAGTTAATAATATGCAGTGATTAAAATCATGATCTACTGCATAGACCATTATGATGTCTATGAAGTAATATGGAAAATCCTTAATTTAAGAAAATACAAAAGAGTTTCTATGCTACAATTTTAAACATGAAAAAATCAAGTTGATAAATCAGTAAGGATTAAAAGTGAAGTTGGAAAAGAGAAGACACAATTGGTATTTTTTCCATGTAAAATCTGTTATTGCTACATTGTTACTTGTGTAATAAATAATTTGGGCCAAACTGGACTTGCCATCTAGAATCTCTCACCCTATCCATTTCATTCTAGAAGGATGTCCTGTTATTAATTTGGTTGTTTTTCTCATTCAAGTTCTATTATGAACTATTGCACACTGAATCCTAGTTTATACTCCCACTTCAAATAGGTAACATAAAAATACTTTTTTTCCATGAGAAAAATATAAAAGGGAGCAAAAATGTTCTATTAGGCAATATAGATGAAAATTCAAAGATTAAGGTAAAGTCATGGAACAATCAGTTGGTCTAATTTTTGACTAAGAAAACCTTTATAATTCTGGATCCACTGTTTATTTCCAGAGCCTTGTTATTTTTGAGACACCTTAGAAAGAACTTGGTGTATTAGATGGAGTGACTCTTGTGGCTTTGCCTGAAGTGTTCCTGAACACTTGAACTCTGGAAGGCGCACCTGACTGTAGTCAACAGTTGTCTTTTATAAAGGAAAAAAACTTATATATGTGAACATTTCTGTGGAAGAACCAGTCAGAGAGCACAACCTACTTGAAAGATGACAGTTTCTGTGTCGCACTTGGGTCTCTGTGTGATCATGAGCTCAGAGATGAGGTCTCAGTTTCCTTGTCTGTGAAATGAGGAAACTGAATATTCTTAAGGCCAGTGTCAGTGCGGCATTCTTGTAGCACCTCATCCTGCAAATCCAGGACTTGCATATAAAGTTCACACAATACAGTGGTTGAAAGCAAGAAGAAATAGTCAATAAGTGTGCGTGTCTTCTTTTCTTTGCATCACAGGGGAGACAAGATTTCAAAAGAGGGCCATTTTCACTTGCCAAAAACTTTATTCATATTCCTCCCTACTTAGTTTTTAAGAAGCAAAGGGAATCTTTGAGCAAAAGATTTTAAAAAATCTTTCTTTAGGTAAGAAAAGGGAATCTTTTAATAAAAAGTGAGGTTATATTCTGAACGAAAAGAGTTGAAGGACCTGATTTTATGAAAGTTGGTTCAAAATAATGCATATAAATGCAAAGTAATGGGTATAAGTTCACCGTACAAGGAAGACTAGGTCTTTCATTCATGTTCACTCTGTTAGTTCTCTTGCATTATGAAAGGGTAGATTATTAATTAGTTAAGTCATCACTTATTTATTGTTAATCAGTCTGGATATTGGACAAAAACCCCCACAATATTTATTTACAAACTAATATATGAAGAATATAATTTCTATGGAAACTACCTTATATAGTAATTTCTATATTTTTGTCAAACACTTTAAAATCTTCATAAAAGAGTGGTCAGTGATGGCTCAGAAATTGATTGGTTGAATTACTCTTTTCACTCAGGGAGAATACCTGGGTTTCGTTCTGAGTAGCTACTTCTGAACCAGCGTGATGGTTTACTCAATCCCTGGTACCCTAGAGGATTTTTCTTTGAAGAACAATAGAATCAGATATAAATTTTAATGAATCATGTTCCTGCTTGTGGCTCAAAAGGGCACCTCACTGGATATACAGAAGTAAAACCAAACATGGTTAGCATCACATAGCAGAAACCCTGGGGGCTCCTATGGGGGAAATTTGGATTGTATAATCTCTAAAATTTTCTTTTTCTTTAAGTAGCATCTAAAATGAAGCATATAGCATAAAAGAAAAAGTTCCACCTCACCTCAAAGAATTGATGTTCTCCTCTTGCCCTTTGAAGGGCAACATGGCAGATTTTCTGCAGCAACTGTCTCCAATGGTGGGCCAGCGAGATGGATTAGCTCCTATGGCAATCTTTCACCAAATATTCCTTTGCCTAATTGCCTTGGAAAAGACATGTAAAATGTTTCAACTGAATAAGACCTTGTGTCATTTCAGGCCTGGGGTCTGGGAGCTGAAGAATGTAGAAAAATGTAGAAAAGTGAGGAAGACAGATTTGAAGAGCAGATCAGGAACCATGAATCTAGTCCCTATCCCTTTTTGTTTTTGGTCTTTAAAGTTAAAGTTTTAGAAGCTATTTATTAAAATTTTGTGCTCTCTTGATCGTATAGTGTATGTGCTTCGTAAATATTCAAGATGTGAGGGCAATCTGCCTGAAATGTCTGTCACTTCATTGACTGCCAGTGTTGACTGAGACCTCATCTTCTTCCCTTAGTTTTTCCTTCTTAGTCTTTTTTCAACATCTTGCAAAAAGGGAAGACTTTCCTAAAGACATCCTTTGGTTCTTAAAGGTGTCTGTGTAGTAGAGTGACCAAACTTTCCATTTCTGGGCTGAAAGAACTCCTGGCATTCTCAGCTTAAGCCTGTAAGGTCCCAGACAAGCTGTGATGCACTGTAGCAGACAGCTACCTCCCTTATTGCATATCTGTACTTCTTGGTTATGAATGGGAAGATAATAATGAAGATGTGTTGATATTTAAGATAATATTTTAAATGCAGGGAAACTATTCTCAAAGGACAAAAATGATTTTAATGTTTTTTGATATTATCTCATCAATAATGAAACTATATTACTATACAAATACTTGACATTGAAAGAAGTTGTTGCTTACACTAATTTCTACTCAAAAATTAAAAAAAACCAAGTATTATTATTAATAATAAATGTATGACTCATTGAAGAAATAGATCCCCCCAAAGAAGATCTCTACATGAACCAATTAACTATTTTCTCCAAAAATAAGTATAAATAAGCATCAAATTCCCAGAGAGATGCAAGATTCCACTCTTTCAGATGTCAGCAGAGGCAATTTATTCTGATGAGCAAATGCTATTTCCAGAGCCAGGTACTGCCACTAGGTGTGCTTCCATTAAGGACATGTTGCTAGGTTTTCACTGGGGCTGAGGCGGCTGGTGAGTGAGAGAAAGTGAGCAATAATTGCACAGTCTATATGATATGTTTCTTACCAGATTTGTTTCATTGAAGAGGAGCATCGCTGATGGTGCCTCCTAATGTCAGAGGCAGCAGAGGCACTTGTCAATGTGATCCAGATGTAAGTGAAGTAGAGCAACTGGACAGCCAGGACCATGTCTTCCAGAGGAAAGGATGCAGGTGGATGCCACCAATACTGTTACTGAGATTTCTTCATCATGTGTCTTTTAAAAAATAAATAGTATGCCAGGAAAAAAAAGTATTAATGAAAAAAAGAGAAACATTGCCTTCAGTGCTGTCCTTTGTTTTAGCAGATTAAATAGATTCATATCACTTACAGGCATATATCTATCAAGATCATTGGCAATTTAAGAAAAAACAGGCAGCTTTTTTTTCATTTTTAATTTACATCCTTTGGTCCCTCTTTCCAGGGAGGGTTCTTAGTGAAATGCTTGATCTCCTACTCAATAAACTCTCAGCTGCAGTCCTCAGCCAACAAAGAAGTGAGGTTAAGCATTAATCCTCTTAACCCAATGCAATATCATTTGAATATATTTAATGAGTTTGTAAAATAATATGCTTAATGAGAAAAAGATGATTAATCTAATCTTAATTATATGTTTGAAGACCTTTTTCTTTATATCATGGATCCTTTTAATCCAGAAATGAATCCTTTCCTCTCCAAAAGCATACAGACTTCCAGAGCACAAATAAAAAATTACATTATTATTTTTGTCAGGTAAACAATCATATTTTTTTTTCATTTTTCTTTTATTATTCATATGTGCATACAAGGCTTGGTTCATTTCTCCCCCCTGCCCCCACCCCCTCCCTTACCACCCACTCCACCCCCTCCCGCTCCCCCACCTCAATACCCAGCAGAAACTATTTTGCCCTTATCTCTAATTTTGTTGTAGAGAGAGTATAAGTAATAATAGGAAGGAACAAGGGGTTTTGCTGGTTGAGATAAGGATAGCTATACAGGGCACTGACTCACATTGATTTCCTGTGCGTGGGTGTTACCTTCTAGGTTAATTCTTTTTGATCTAACCTTTTCTCTAGTACCTGTTCCCCTTTTCCTATTGGCCTCAGTTGCTTTAAGGTATCTGCTTTAGTTTCTCTGCGTTAAGGGCAACAAATGCTAGCTAATTTTTTAGGTGTCTTACCTATCCTCACCCCTCCCTTGTGTGCTCTCGCTTTTATCATGTGCTCATAGTCCAATCCCCTTGTTGTGTTTGCCCTTGATCTAATGTCCACATATGAGGGAGAACATACGATTTTTGGTCTTTTGAGCCAGGCTAACCTCACTCAGAATGATGTTCTCCAATTCCATCCATTTACCAGCGAATGATAACATTTCGTTCTTCTTCATGGCTGCATAAAATTCCATTGTGTATAGATACCACATTTTCTTAATCCATTCGTCAGTGCTGGGGCATCTTGGCTGTTTCCATAACTTGGCTATTGTGAATAGTGCCGCAATAAACATGGATGTGCAGGTGCCTCTGGAGTAACAGTCTTTTGGGTATATCCCCAAGAGTGGTATTGCTGGATCAAATGGTAGATCGATGTCCAGCTTTTTAAGTAGCCTCCAAATTTTTTTCAGAGTGGTTGTACTAGTCTACATTCCCACCAACAGTGTAAGAGGGTTCCTTTTTCCCCACATCCTTGCCAACACCTGTTGTTGGTGGTGTTGCTGATGATGGCTATTCTAACAGGGGTGAGGTGGAATCTTAGTGTGGTTTTAATTTGCATTTCCTTTATTGCTAGAGATGGTGAGCATTTTTTCATGTGTTTTCTGGCCATTTGAATTTCTTCTTTTGAGAAAGTTCTGTTTAGTTCACGTGCCCATTTCTTTATTGGTTCATTAGTTTTGGGAGAATTTAGTTTTTTAAGTTCCCTGTATATTCTGGTTATCAGTCCTTTGTCTGATGTATAATTGGCAAATATTTTCTCCCACTCTGTGGGTGTTCTCTTCAGTTTAGAGACCATTTCTTTTGATGAACAGACACAGGGGGAATTTTCAAAGCCCCTGTTAAAATCCACACTACTTATGAATAGTCCTCAAAAAAGGGCTTTCCAGAACACTCAGTCTGGGAAATGCTGATTTACAGGTAAATCCATGTTTTGCATACCTTATCAAAATTCTATGACCTACCACCTTTTCAGCTATTCTTGGATGTTATCTATTTTATTATAATTTTAAACATAGGTTTCATTATGACATTTTCACATGTGTATACTTCAACCATATTTATCTTCCCCATCACCCCATCATTCTCTCTTTTCCTCCTCTGTCATTCCACTAGATATCCCCACCTTATAATCCTCCTTTTACATTCATGTTCTTTTCTTTTTTTAGATATACATTTTCATATAAATTAAAACATTCAATATTTGTGTTTCTGATTCTGGTTTATTGCATTTTACACGATGATCTCCAGTTTCACCCATTTTCCTGCAAATGACATAATTTCATTCTTTTTCTTTTTTTGGTGGGATAAGGATTTAAACTCAGGGTTTCGTGCTTGCAAAGCAGGCACTCTTACCAATTGAGTCACATCACCTATCCATTTTGCTCTGGTTATTTTGATGACAGGATCTGTTTGCCTTGGCTGGCCTTGAACCACAATCCTTCCAATCTTAGTAGCTAGGATTTCAGGCGTGAGCCAATAGTGCCTGACCTCATTCTTCTTAATAGTGAGTGAACTCCATTGTGTATAAATAACCATAGTTTCTTTATTCATTCATCCATTGTTGGGCCCTCTGGCTGATTCCATAAGTTGTCTGTTGTGAATACTGTTGCAAAGAACACAAGTGTGCAGGTATCTCTACTGTATGCTGACTTACCATTTAACACTACCTCCAATTGCTACTAAACTTTTAAGTTCATAATGAAATATTGGTAGCTGATAGAGAGCAAACAAGACAGTAAGAAGGGACTATTTGAAGTATGCATCAATTAAAGGGATGAACACCTAAAGTAAAAGCTGTTCACCTTATAGAATGTGGTGGAGCTCTTTGGGGGCACTTGTTTTTCAGAAATACTTGTCACTTACATCCTGTTAGGATGCCGGGGTAATCTTTTTGCATCAATGATCTGACCTCTTTATTGAATAATCTTTTCTATACCAACTACCTATACCAACATTAACATTAATGAAGGAGTAAAAGAAGTTTACATTTTTGGTGATGAATTTTAAGTAGAAAGTGATTTGGATAAAAATAAAAATAAGGTAATAGCTTAGGCTAGAGAGGGTTGGGTCTTGTGCAGTCTTAGGGTGTCAGTTCAATTACAATAGAGCATCTGTCTCTGTTGATGCTGAGTCTCCTCCTTAACTTTACCCCTTTAGTACTTTCCTTTGCAAGCCTAGTAAGCTTCTTAAGAAAAAAAGAAAACCACATCTGTCAAAATTAGAAAATGTTAACTACGAGGAAACAGAATGAATCATGGATTCCCTGGAGAATCTTGTAATGGCTTAAGATCTCTCTTGAATAAATTGCCTCCTGTTCACTCTTACTCCACTTTATTGATGTCACTCACTTCCTATTCTCTTGGCAAGGAACCAAAGAGAAATCTGGGTAACATGCAGCGTCAAATTCATCTTAGAGGATGTACCTAGTGAAAACAGAAGGGAAGTAGGGTCATATTTAGACAAGATCAAGTATATCTACCACACAAAAACAAATTCCAAGACTCAAGTAATTTCCAGTGTGCCTGTAGGAGGTCACACGGCAAAATACATGAGATGGAAATTGTAGAATCATAATGTTTGTATGGAAGACCTTTGGTGATCACTTTGACTAACGCTACTCATTTCCTTCTTACTTTGATAAACTGTTATTCCTCACTATTACTGTAGGATAAGTTCTAGGACCCCTGAGGACATGAAAATCTAAAGGTATTCAAGTCTCTTATACAAAATGGCATAGTATTTCCATATAAGCTGCACAGTCCTCCTATGTATTCTAACTCATCTCTAGATTACTTGCAATAAACAATACAATGTAAACTTTATATTATACTGGATTGTTTAGGAAGTAATGACCAAAAAGCCTATATATGTTCAGTATATCCATAACTTTTTCTGAATATTATGGATCTGTGGTTGATTGAATATATAGATGTGGAACTTACGGATATAGAGGATCAACTGTAAAGGAGGCTAGCTAGAGAGGTTAAGTGATCAACTCATTTGCTTCAGTTTTTAAAATTTACTTTGGGAACTAAGTATAATTGGAACTATAATTGCACTTTAGAAATATAATTGACCATGACAAGAATAGCTAATATGGGACATTTTTTTCTCTGCCCCCAAACCTTACTCTTAC